ATATCACAAAGTTCATATTTGTATCTGAAAAAGTGTAAATGTTAGATTGCATTTGTGAAAAAAATGCTACTCCACAACATTATAAACACTAAATAGTAGAACAGAAGTGGTTCATTTTTTTTTGTTTTTATACAATAGAACTTTACGATAATGAAGTGTGACTAGTGAATTTGTGGGTCAAGGTGATATTTCAGTATATCATGTGAAAGACAATGTGTAGATATTAAAGATCTTTTAAGTTTTTACTTTATACATATAAGCAGATGCCTATGCCACCTCCTCCCACCCTGCCTGGTGGAAACAACTATGCTTAAAACAGTCTTGTAAAAGGTTCACTATACAATGTTTCATGCCAAATATCTTAAATCTAGACCATGTAGCTTTACAGCAGCAAATGCAAAGCCAATGATTTTCTCTTTCCCCAGTATCATAGTTTCAATCTTAACAAGAGCACTGCAAAAGGAATGAGACTAAAACAAGAGCTTATGCACCCCAAAAGGAAGCTTTGACACAAAAGAATTAAATAGGAGTCTGAACAAAAAGAATTTAATCTTTGAGATTATCAAATAGCTTGGTGACAAACAATCAAAGTTTCACTGAAATCCCCCCCCCCCAACAATAGTTTAGGTGATGAAGCACATATTACAAGCTCATTATACTTGAAGACACCAAGACTGTGCAAAAAAAATTCAAGCGGAAAATCAAAAGAGTATGTACAACTAGGCTCGGGGACAAACAATCCTGTGAAGTTTCACTGAAAACCTCCTAACGGTTTTGTCGATGAAGCGCAGACAATGATAATATACTAAAATCTTGTCTTTTCAATCAAAGGAATGAACTTTAAAATGCTAATTCATCTCTTCACACAGATTCATATATGATAATGAATGAAAAATATAAGAATCAACGAAAAAAAGTGATATTTGTCTATTTTGTGATCGTGATTTCTGCAAGAGTCTAGAAGTATGTCCAAGGTGGAGGAATTTTTTACCCTAGGTGCATGATTCATATAACCTTAACAGACATCTACTTTCTTTTATAGAGGTCTACTAGAGGCATAGTATTTATCCAAAAACAGATGTGTTTTCCTGTACATTCATCTACATAAAGCAAATGACTTCCGGAACAGGGCCAATTTTGACCTGAGGGTAAGGATTAATTCACCTTTTGTAGAAACCAACAAACTGAAGCTACTCACTAAATATCTAAGCCCTGGGCTTTGTAGTTTCACCCAATAATATGGACAGATAAGCAGCTATATAACGTTATACCCGTAATTTTTTGGGGGTGTATGAAAGGACGTATTTTGTTCAAACATATAAAACTGAGTTTTGAATCGATGCAGAATGTCATATGAATTTGGAGTAAAGAAAATCAAGCAATCATGATATTTGTCATTTTATCGTTTTAATAAGATCCTTGCTTTACATTTTATGTGTTTTAGGAGGTACCTTTACTTGAACAAGGCTTGCATGTGATGTTACATCAAATAGTTCAAAAGCCATGATAAAAATATTCTAATTCTGTCATGTCAAAAAATCTCAGTTGAATCCCTTTAATGTATTGTGAAAAAATCTCAGTTGAGTCACTTTAATATATCTGTATTAAAGTGACATTATGCCCATCCAAGAGTATATAGTGAATGAACGGATGAAGATCAAAATAAGTTTTCATTTTGCCATAATTCCTTTTAATTTAATAATTAAGGTCGCATTAACAATAAATAACACACAGATCCAAATGAAATTTCTGTAAATATCTATTAGAATTTACCTATAACGCTTAGTTTATAAAAAGAGTGGGGCAGTCTTTTTAAATTTTAGGCAGATTTATAATTTTTTATCCTAAACATTTTACAATATCAACTGTTGGTCAAACACCATTTTGACGGTAAATCTTTTGAAAAATAAAGTCTTTTCAGCTCAACTTGACTATGAAAATATGAGCATAATGTCACTTTAAGAATATATAATATGCTTCCCAGCTTTGCATGCAATTCAAGCAACAAGGTCAAATAACTTATATAATTTTTGCACTGACCTCAGTGATATGTTACCATATGAATATTTCATTAAGGTTGAACAGCAGACATTTCATTATGCATAATAAGTGATGATAGTCATATTTGTGAAACATGTATCAATTCTGAAAATACTTGAAAACAGCAGGTTTATTAAGATTAGAACAGCTGCTCATTTTGAAAATGAGAACCGATTGAACCGGGTGATGCTCTCCAAATAGGTTTTGAACACACAAAAGTATACCTCTTGTAGTTAAGTCCCGGACAAAGTTCAATAGTTCCAAACTTTTGTGACATGTGAGCTTAAAAGCAGGAACATATAACACACAGAAGCTGTTATTTTCAGCTAACATTTTGCATTAATCAATTCGCAGTCTAGCATACAAAATTAATGTAATTAGTTTACCAGAACTTGTGTTAAATGGACATGACAACAAGCAATATAGACAGTGCCACACACAATTTCATATTTAACTGATTTTCTAATACATGTTCTGTACCTAAATCTATACTCACTGGCTCTGGGATATGATAGAAATTAAACACATGTTCTGTACCTAAATCTATACTCACTGGCTCTGGGATATGATAGAAATTAAACAAACTGAAATAAAATTAGCATTTCAAAGAATGTTAAAAATATTATTAATTAATTGTTATTTAAGAAATTTTAGTAATGCTAGCTTGCAAGAATTATTCATTTTTTAAAGGGACTCCAACAAGGTTTTCTGACATGACGGAACTGGAAATTTTTTTTTATGAGATTTGTATAATATTTGATGAAGGTGTATACCAAAAGCTTGTATGCAAAATTTCAAATAATAAATTGCTCGCCCAGTTTTGCAAAACTATAATTTTTATTGTGCAAAATGAAAAATAAAAAGCCTATATTTCCCTTTTATCTTTTTACACATTTTTTTCATTTTTATTTTTCTACATGCTAATTGATCTACGAAGAAAACGTAACGGCCGCTGTGATGTAGTGGTTAGCATACTGAATCGGCAATCCATAGACCCCTGGTTTGAGTCCCGGCTACTCCATACTAATAGGTTGTGTAATATTAGAGCAGCAATACACATAAGCCATCCTTGGTAACCCATCAGTACCCGTGGGTTCGTACCCGTGGGTTCCTATGATGCCATAAACCAGCAGTTAAAGTAACTTCTACTTAAAAATATCACATCAAAAAAGGAAAATAACAAAGTAAAAATTACTTTCATGTTTATATACCCTTTAGAAATGATGTCAAATTTTGTTACTGGACAATTGACTTTCCAATGAAATATATGAACAATGTACATTTGTAATCCAGTACTCCATAATCTAGTTTCCCTATAAACCAAGACAATTTCTAAACTTAATATAGAAGATAACCCTCTCATCAGGATCTTATATCATGTTACACAACTTCAAAAATTGAAGACAATCTTTTCACAAACCTATCGAAAATTGAAAACTATCTAACATTTTTAAACATTTATCTTTACCTTATAATGTGGACAAGTTATCTTATACACCTGTGAACCAAACTTCCTACTTCAATCACTTAACTTGCAGTAAAGCATGATCATTATTAAGATTGTGAAAAAGGGTAGAAAATGTGAAAAATGGATGACAATGAATTGGGAAATAATGGCTGGGTGCAGACTGGGCTAAAATCTATGATCTTAAACTTAAGCCTGCTGGTGGCAACTTAATCTACCCATACTCAGATCAGCTAGCACAGCCAAGCTGCCTGATCATTGTCTGCAATGTTATTCAGTCATATTTTGAATTGTCTCTAAAATTGACAAATGGTCTTGTCCAGATTGAAAGAAAGAGGTATTTAGCATGGTGTAGGTAACTAAGTTTCTTTTTCTTCTTTGTTTTCATTTTGAATATTCAAATTCAGTTTTTATAAAGTATCCATAATTTAAACAAGAGGGCCATGATGGCCCTGAGGTCGCTCACCTGTATATAGGCCCCCGGAGCGGGGCCAGTTTAAACCCCAGGGCTTTTATTTGAACAAACTTGGTAGACACCCATAAGAAGATGTTTCATGCTAAACATCTAAGCTCTAGCTCATTGGGTTTAAAAGAAGATTTTTTAAGTTTTTACTATACAGATATAGTTAAAAACAATGACACCCCTGGGGCGGGGCCAGTTTTGTCCCCAGGGCTTTAATTGAACAAACTTTGTAGACACTTACTAGAAGATGTTTCATGCCTAATATCTGAACTTTAGCTATTCAGGTTTCTTCAAAGAAGATTTTTAAGTTTTTGCTATACACATAAGGAAAATCAATGACCCCCGGGGCGGGGCCAATTTTGACCCAAGGGCTTTTATTTGAACAAACTTTGTAGACTCTCACTAGAAGATGTTTCATGCTTAATATCTAAACTCTAGCTATTTGGTTTTTTCACAGAAGATTTTTTAAGGTTTTTGCTATACACATATAAGGAAAATCAATGACCCCGGGGCAGGGCCAATTTTGACCCCAGGGCTTTTTTTTAATAAACTTGGTAGACAGCCATTAGAACATGTTTCATGCTTTATATCTTAGCATTAGCTCTTTGAGTTCTTTAAAAGAAGATTTTTTAAGTTTTTACTATATGCATTTAGGGAAATCAATGACCCCCTGGGGCGGGGCCAATTTTGACCCCAGGGCTTTTACTTGAACAAACTTGGTAGACACTCACTAGAAGATGTTTCATGCCAAATATCTAAGCTCTAGCTCTATGGGTTTTTTAAAAGAAGATATTAAAAGTTTTTTCTTTCGGTTGCCATGGCAACCAGAGTTCAGCATGGAATTCAATTCTTTGAACAAATTTTAAAGGTGACCACCAAAGGAACATTCCTGTGAAGTTTGGATGAAATTGACTTAGTGGTTTATGAGGAGATGTCATTTAAAGTAAAAGTTTACGGACGGACATCGGACGAAAAGCGATCACAAAAGCTCACCCTGTCACTTTGTGACAGGTGAGCTAATAAAAATCTGTATGATTCTTTCAAGATAAAAACAAATATTCTACCCACTATTGGCAACCAAAAATAGCATTAATGTAGTAGATGATAAATAATTTTTACCCATTGAAATATTCCAAGACTGCTTTGCTCGCCCTCCTGAGACAGTCAGGAGTACTACTCCAGTACTGTTGATGGGATCTGTTGTAGATTTTATCATTGAGCTTATTTCTTTTTCTGTTGATGAGATGTTTATCCCAGCCATACTCCAAGATATTTGAACTGGTGTTACTGGTGTTACGCCATATACATTGGCTTTTAACGTACAGGGAAATTCTTCACATGCATTCCAACTGACCACTGAAAATAAAATACTACCCTTTCAAAGATTTTTTATGGATATAAGTTGCCATAATGACCTTCACAGGAGATCATAAAAACTTGTTCTGGTGACCAAAATGAGTAATACAGGTGACACACTGATACACATACCATCTGGAGCTCTGTTTTGCCACCAGTATAGAGCCAGGCATGCATGTATAAAGGTGTAGTCTCGCAAGGCTCTATACTGCTGGTTTGTTTCTGGCTTTTTGTATTCATAAAACATTGCATGGATTGTTCCAAACCTGAAGCAGGGAACTCATCATCATGCTACAGTTAATGGCTAATATTTCATGCTGTGTACAACCACAGCTGTTTACCTGTTGTCAAAATCATTTAATAGTTCTTAGCCAATGCTATAAATAAAATAGTTACTAGATTAAGTTGATTTTATCACTTATTGTATTAATTGTATTCACTTACTTCCAGCACTATCTCTGTCTAAATAAAATTTTCTGTCAGCTAATCATCGTCTTATAAAACCTTATAAGGATGATCCTCACTATAAAATGATGAATTTTCATATAAACTACCAATCTCATTAGAATCCAATTCATAAACTGATGCTTCTCCCCCTTCATTGGGTAGGATATAAAGACATATCATTCCAGCATAGATTATCTGAGAAGACAGAGCTTTCTATAACAAGATCGATAAATTACTTACCAGAAACTTCTTTCTTAAGTTCAGCAGATGATTCATTATCAAATTTTTTATTTTTGTCAAAGGCAGCTTTGGACGTCACTTTACAAGTGATGGGTTTGAGGGCATTATCCTTTTCTGAAAGATATTGACAACAATAAAATGTTTTTACACAACCACATACAGACTTAGAGCTGGACATCTCTTGATTCATATTGATCTTAATGAAAATTGAAAAAAAAATTGTTCGATCTAAAATGTTTTAGGTTAATTATCAATTTAATGGTTGATATAACTTTTATAGAGGTCTATATTTCCGCAATGCTACATGCAACAAGCGAATTCGTTGAATTTATATCCCCCGCCGAGTACTGGTTATTACTAACACAACAACTGAAGACATAAGGCTTTATTTATATATTTATCATGGCATAAACAGTAATATTCTTTGATCTTGATAAATATTCAGGGCAATAACAGAGCCATAACTCTGTGTTAAATAGTAAATTCTGGAAATGCCAATGAGATGTATGCATACTGCATAACTAATCAAGGGCTATAAATCTGAGTTATAAAAGTCTGACCAGAACAAGGCGACTATTATGCACATCTCCTCTTCGTATCCCATAAAGTTTCATTGAATTCCAGCCAGTAGTTACAGAGAAGTATGAAAACAATTATTGCTCTGGTTGTATACTGCATAAGTTATCAAGGGCCATAACTCAAAGTTAAAATGTCTGACCCAAACAAGGCAACGATAGGCAGCACACCACACTAAATGAAGCCACAGCTACGAATGGCCAGGGAGGATTTCATGGATATAGTGACTATTGTGGATTTAAATGACTGGTTGTCTTTAAAATGCATTTTCAGCATGAAATTTGTTTTTGTAACATGTAATATGATCATTGGCAAATTCGAAAACATGGTTAGAAATAACATGCTGTTTATTATAGATGTCAAGGCCGCCATTGTTTGTAAACATTGCTTTTAAACAGCATGCTCGGTGAAAACAAGTGATTTTACAGGGGGGTACAAACTTTCAGCAATAGCAAAAAATCTACAAGGCCAAGCACCTATTTCTTTGCGATAGTTTGCATGCATAGGGAGTTGCTAAAGCAGTGACAGAGTTTCTGTAGTCCGTATATTTGCAGGTATTTTTTGCCGGAGGGACGAAAAATGTTGTTTTGGGTCTCGGACCACTATAGATTTTTGGCTTTTACGGAATGAATTGGAATTTTTTTAACTGCCTGACTGTTGCACATGGGATGATTTCATTACAGATTTGCAATACTATGACATATATGTTCGTAACAAAATGTGTTTTCTTTTTCTAGGTTGTGTAGTTTGGGATCAGATTTATCAGACATATTGCTTGCAGGACATTGACGGCAGAAACTTGAAATTTAGTGTGGAGTGCTACCTTAAGGTAAAATGAAACTTTTTCAATGCTTGTTTTTTCTCATTAAACTTTATGTAAATACTCTAGAATACACACTGACTACAATGGTGATGAAATTTCATAATAATATTAAACACAGTACCAGAAAGTCAGCTTTAAAAAGGGGAGGTAACTCAAATACCAGAAATTCTTTGTGAAATGTATTAAAGGTGCTGTGTCTGCTGTGTTGATAACACCTACTTATTCTAGGAGATACAGCTTTAGAAGAATGCTAATTTTCACATATAGAGCTATGAAGGTTAAATTAGATGTTGTTTTCCTGCTTTTTATGACTTTTAAATTAGGAAAAAGGCATGCATTTAATGAATTTCAGCTGTATGTGTGAAATATGGCCATCCGGAGTGTTTCGAGTGATGAAAAATCATTGTATGGAGGTAAATTTTTGCTGGAAATCATTTTTAAGGGCAAGTGGATATATAATCTAGGTTTTCTGGTGAGATTGTGACCATTTTAAAGCTGAGCGAGCAAGATCGAGTAGTCGGAAATCTGGTTTTTGCGCTGTCACTTGGTGAATTTCGATTCCCTAGGAGGCCCACATTGTGATGTCGATAATGCTGTGTAGGCCCTGACAAATGCTTTGTCTCTTTGATTTTGACTTTACACATAAACCTATATGAACATTGTGCATGCCAAATAGATTTTCTACTGTGTAAGACTGAAAAAACATAGCATATATTAGTGTCTGGCAGGAACATATCTGATGTATTTTGTGCTCCCTCCCCCACACACAGTGTCACATGAAGCCAGTTTATTCTTAAACTGTATGGCAATTTGTTGAATATTTCTTCCATATCATATGACATAAGGATATATTTGTGCAAATTAGTTGTATAGATAGTATAGAACCCATTTTGTCTACACCTTACATTGGGAATTCTTTCTTTTTCTACATGTACTAAAAACAGCGTGCCAAGGGCTGAAAATGGGACAAACGGTATAGTTCATTAAAGGCCCATATAAAGAAAAGCAAACAATTCCTAGCAAAATTAAATCATTTTATTTATTGAAATATGCATAAATTTGCAGAAAAAGTCTGTATAAAGTCCAGCAATAAATGTTAAGGTGCTCCTTAAGGCAGCACACCACACTAAATGAAGCCACAGCTTCGAATAACCAGGAAGGATTTCATGGATATAGTGACTATTGTGGATTTAAATGACTGGTTGTCTTTAAAATGCAATTTCAGCATGGAATTTGTTTTTGTAACATGTAATATGATCATTGGCAAATTCGAAAACATGGTTAGAAATAACATGCTGTTTATTATAGATGTCAAGGCCGCCATTGTTTGTAAACATTGCTTTTAAACAGCATGCTCGGTGAAAACAAGTAATTTTACAGGGGGGTACAAACTTTCAGCAATAGCAAAAAATCTACAAGGCCAAGCACCTATTTCTTTGTGATAGTTTGCATGCATAGGGAGTTGCTAAAGCAGTGACAGAGTTTCTGTAGTCCGTATATTTGCAGGTATTTTTTGCCGGAGGAACGAAAAATGTTGTTTTGGGTCTCGGACCACTATAGATTTTTGGCTTTTACGGAATGAATTGGAATTTTTTTAACTGCCTGACTGTTGCACATGGGATGATTTCATTACAGATTTGCAATACTATGACATATATGTTCGTAACAAAATGTGTTTTCTTTTTCTAGGTTGTGTAGTTTGGGATCAGATTTATTAGACATATTGCTTGTAGGACATTGACGGCAGAAACTTGAAATTTAGTGTGGAGTGCTACCATATGCCCATCTCTTCTTGGTATTGAAGGTTCCAATAAAGTTTCATTGAATTCCAGCCAGTAGTTGCAGAGAAGTAGCGCAGAAACAAATATTTTTCTATCTGCATACTGCATAACTAATCAAGGGCCATAACTCTGAGTTAAAATGTCTGACCCCAACAACGCAATGATATGCACATCTTCTCTTGGTATTGAAGGTTCCCATAAAGTTTCGTTGAATTCCAGCCAGTAGTTGCAGAGAAGGAGTGAGGAAATGATTTTTGCTCTATATGCATACTGCATAACTAATCAATGGCCATAACTCTGAGTTAAAGTGTCTGACCCAAATAAGGTGACGATATGTGCATCTCCTCTTGGTATTGAAGGTTCCCATAAAGTTTTGTTGAATTCCAGCCAGTAGTTGCAGAGAAGGAGCGAGGAAATGATTTTTGCTCTATATGCATACTGCATAACTAATCAAGGGCCATAACTCTGAGTTAAAGTGTCTGACCCAAACAAGGCGACGATATGCGCATCTCCTCTTGGTATTGAAGGTTCCCATAAAGTTTTGTTGAATTCCATACAGTAGTTGCAGAGAAGTAGCGCAGAAACGATTTTTACTCTATATGCATACTGCATAACTAATCAAGGGCCATAACTCTGAGTTAAAGTGTCGGACCAGAACAAGCCGACGAAATGCGCATCCCCTCTTGGTATTAAAGGTTCCCATAAAGTTTCGTTGAATTCCAGCTAGTAGTTGCAGAGAAGTAGCACGGAAATGATTTTTACTCTATATGCAAACTGCATAACTAATCAAGGGCCATAACTCTGAGTTAAAGTGTCGGACCGGAATAAGCCAATGATATGCGCATCCCCTTTTGATATTGAAGGTTCCCATAAAGTTTCGTTGAATTCCAGCCAGTAGTTGCAGAGAAGTAGCGCAGAAACGATTTTTACTCTATATGCATACTGCATAACTAATCAAGGGCCATAACTCTGAGTTAAAGTGTCGGACCGGAACAAGCCGATGATATGCGCATCTCCTCTTGATATTGATGATTCCCATAAAGTTTCGTTGAATTCCAGCCAGTAGTTGCAGAGAACTACTCCGGAAACGAAATTCGGACGGACAGATGGATGGACAATGCCAAAACTATACCCCCCTCCCGATTCCATCTGCGGGGGATAATAAAGCGTACCACTTATCAGCAATGAATTAATATTTGAAAAACAGTATGAAAATAAGGCAGATACAAATGGTTTCACTATTTGCTAACTTGTTATGTATCTTTAAACGAGATAAAAAAAAACAAATAACTTTATAATATAATACCTACTGACTTATGCCCTCCTTAATTTCAAATTAGATAAAGAAAATATATTTAAAATGTCTGTTAAACTTTTCTTTAGTTGTTAATAATATATCTGTCACCAATTTTAAGCATATTTTGTCAAAATCTGCAGGTTGTTTTAAAGAGTAAACAAATTCAAAAGCAATAAAATAATAATAATTGACCACCTGACTTCCAGAAGGACCACCTAAATTTCAAATCTAGTGGTCTGGCTTACCAACTGTGAAATAAGTTAGTGTCAAGGCCTGGTAAGCTAGCTGTCTAGTTTCCTCACAAGAAAGAATCCAAAGTCCCATTTACAGCAGTGAGAAGCAAGCAATTTGAAAACAACAACAATGACTGCTTGGCAACCTAAAACCTTCATAAACTGAATTATCTACTTACAATAAAAGTAAAGACGTTACCTAATGGTTAGGGTGCCTGCCTCTTAATCAAGGTATTATGGGTAATGGAAGGGAAGCAAAAAAATTACATCTTGCTTTCTTACGTTACATCGTGCTTTCTAACTTGTGCATCTTGCATTCTGACTTGTACATCTGGCATTCTGACTTTTACATGTTGCTTTCTTACATGCACATTATGCTTTCTGCTGTGTGACACATAACCGAAAGCCGAATGCAGCAAGCATAATACGACGCAACATCTGGTGTAATAATATAATTATGTCACCCAAATTATAATAACAGGTGGCGCTACAGTTATATTCTTGGTAAAGTCTGTATTGCGGTTCGGATTCAATTTATCAAGTTACGTCCCTTTGTTTTAAAAACTATAAACCCTAATTGTGATAAACTGAACATCAAATTGGTAGTGTGACCTTGACCTTTGAGGTAGATACGCAATTCTTGAACGCGACAAATCGTCTTGATGTGGTAGACATTTATGACTTGTTATTTTAAAATCATTCAATGCATGACAATGTTATAGTCCGGACACGAATATGTGTACCTATTTACTCTAATTGCAATGACGTGAAACTTTAAAATGATAGTGTGACCTTGACCTTTGGGGTAGGGACCTGGTTCTTGAACACAACATATCATATTGATGTTGTAGACATTTGTGCCAAAATATTTCAAAATCCCTCAATGCATGACAAAGTTACAGTCCGGACATGAATTAAGTGGGGATGCACAGACAGATGGACATATGGTGTGATTATATTATGCCTCCCTTTGGGGGCATAAAAATCAAAAGTATTGTGTTCAAACTTGTTATTCATTTTTATTATCAAATTTGAAAAGCATTTCAAAAGGGCAGGTTAATTTAGTATTTGCTCAGATTTTGTCCTTTTTATTTTCAGTATTTATGTTTACTTTTAATTTTTGTAAAATTTCACTTCTAAAAAGCTAGCAAAGATGTTCTGTAAGTTAAGAATACTATCAAAATTGACAGAAATTTCTAAAGGGTAGATAACTATGAAAAACATTTTTGCTTGTTATTTTTCAATTTTTCCTAAAATATATTTTTTTTTTCAGTGAAAATGATACCACAAACGCCATTGGACACTGTTTAAAAAATGCCCCGGACAGACCAGGGGATGGAAGGAGAAAGCGTTGATTACCTTAAAGTAGCACAACTCCAAGTTCATGCTAATTTTCATGAAAATCTTTAAAACATATTTAAAAGTATAAATTTGTGAAGTAACCAAAAGGAAGTAATTATCAAACATTATCAATGGCAATTGTTAATCAAAGGGCTGCAAGCTCTGTGGTATTTTATGATCTTTGCAATCTAAATCGTACTGTATATATGTATGTATTTTCCTGTTTTAAGTTTATTTTTACATACTATAATTCATCTTACAGGGCACCGAGATGCAGCGACTGCGTTTAGATTTTTTACTATAACAGTTTGAGTTTCATACATACGGAATTTTGCATGACTACAGTAGAGTTGCATAAAAAAATCATTTATGTTCATCTTTTTATGACAGCCACACTTCAACCTTAAAATGATATTGATCATCCACGTAATTTATGATTGTGCATTTATTGAAAATTCTATAAGCCAACGCTACTTTTAAACTTTGAATGCGTTGTAATTTGTTTGATACTTGCAACAAAATAACAATATTTCTTTCTTTTACATCGCTAGTTTAAACTGTTTTGAGAACTACTTGTTGTTAGGTTTGTTTGAAGCTCTGTGTCAGAGATTGAATGTCAGCATTGTATTTCCTGATCTGTGATCAGAAAATACAAAAAGAGGTCAAAATATGCAAAAATAGCACTCAATGTGTTAGTAACGCAGTAGAAATATAGTTAAAATATAGTCATTAATTTCACAAAACATGTTATTACAACCTTTTCTTTAATGTTTGTACATATGTTTTCTTATTTTCATTCATGTAATTGTTTTTGTAACACTTTCTGTTTTGTAATAAACATAATTTTATGTTTATTATTTATTAATTTGTGATAAAATAAATAATAATAATAAACAAGAGGGCCATGATGGCCCTGAGGTCGCTCACCTGTATATAGGTCCCCCCAACCCCCCTCCAAACGTTGCAGGGCCAATTTAACCAAAGGGCTTTTATTTGCACAAACTTGGTAGACACCCATAAGAAGATGTTTCATGCTTAACATCTAAGCTCTAGCTCATTGGGCTATTTAAAAGAAGATTTTTTTTAAGTTTTTACTATACACATATAGTTAAAAACAATGACACCCCTGGGGCCGGGCCAGTTATGACCCCAGGGTTTTTATTTGAACAAACTTTGTAGACACTTACTAGAATATGTCTCATGCTTAATATCTAAACTCTAGCTATTTGGGTTTTTTCAAAGAAGATTTTAAGTTTTTGCTATACACATAAAAGGAAAATCAATGACCCCGGGGCCGGGCCAATTTTGACCCCAGGTCTTTTATTTGAACAAACTTTGTAGACACTCACTAAAAGATGTTTCATGCTTAATATCTTAACTCTAGCTATTTGGGTTTTTTCATAAAAGATTTTTTAAGTTTTTGCTATACACATATAAGGAAAATCAATGACCCCCGGGGCGGGGCCAATTTTGACCCCAGGGCTTTTATTTGAACAAACTTGGTAGACACCTATTAGAACATGTTTGATGCTAAATATCTTAACCATAGCTCTTTGAGTTCTTTAAAAGAAGATTTTTTAAGTTTTTACTATATGCATATATGGGGAAAATCAATGACCCCCCGGGGCGGGGTCAATTTTGACCCAAGGGCTTTTATTTGAACAAACTTGGTAGACACTTATTAGAACATGTTTAATGCTAAATATCTTAGCTCTAACTCTTTTGGTTCTTTAAAAGAAGATTTTTTAAGTTTTTACTATATGCATATAGGGAAAATCAATGACCCCCTGGGGCGGGGCCAATTTTGACCCCAGGGCTTTGTTTTGAACAAACTTGGTAGACACCTATTAGAACATGTTTGATGCTCAATATCTTAGCCATAGCTCTTTGAGTTCTTTAAAAGAAGATTTTTTAAGTTTTTACTATATGCATATAGGGAAAATCAATGACCCCCCGGGGCGGGGCCAATTTTGACCCCAGGGCTTTTATTTGAACAAACTTGGTAGACACTCACTAGAAGATGTTTCATGCCAAATATCTAAGCTCTAGCTCTTATGGTTTTTTTAAAGAAGATATTTAAAGTTTTTTCTTTTGGTTGCCATGGCAACCAGAGTTCTGCATGGAATTAAATTCTTTGAACAATTTTTAAAGGTGACCACCAAAGGAACATTCCTGTGAAGTTTGGATGAAATTGGCCTTGTGGTTTATGAGGAGATGTCATTTAAAGTAAAAGTTTACGGACGACGGACGACGGACGCCGGACGAAAAGCGATCACAAAAGCTCACCCTGTCACTTTGTGACAGGTGAGCTAAAAAACAACATAAAAACAAACTTTTGGTTTTAGATTTTTGTTATAGATTTCATTGGAGTGAAAGTTACTTAATAGAATGATTTAAATAAAATTTCATCAAATCAGGATTGGCAAGAAAATATTTATAACATGGTAAAAAAGAAAGATTAGAAAAAGAACAGATTAAGGCCAGAAACGGTTAATAATAGTCAGAAATTGGTCAGATTTAAGTCGGGAAATGGTGAAATTGAGGTTGGGAAATGGTCAGAAACTGGTGAGATGATAATGGTCTGATTTAGGTAGGAAATAAGTCAGATTGAGGTCGGAAAAAGGTCAGAAACTGGTAAGATTCCGACGTCTACCTCACGTCAGATAATTATCTAAAAAAACCTTTCAAATCCAACCATTTTTCTGACCGTCATCTGACATCAGAAACTGACTTAAATCTGACGTCTTGTGTTTGCTGGGAAGGGCTCTGTGACCTTGACCTGTGTCCTAGTGACCTCAAAATCGATAGGGGTCATCTACTAGTTATGACCAATCAGTTTGTGAAATATGAAAACTTTGTAATCAATAGTTTCTAAGGCAATTAAGGGAAACCAAGTGGTGTACTGACAGACAGAAAGACGAACCAACAGATCGACATTAGCAAAACAATATACCACACTTCTTTGAAGGGGGCATAATACATTTACCTGTAAGTTGTAAGAGCCTGTTTCAAAATATAATATACATATTTTAAACACTTAGCCTATTAGACTCTACCAGTGCAGACCAAGACAAGCTGGCACATTTGTGACAGCTGATCCTGGTCTGCACTGTACCCTTGTAAGTAAAGATATATTTAGAAAATTTCTCTAAAAAGAGCAATCAGTGATCACATGATCAGTGTTGCCACATGATAGCCAATTGCATGTTGCAGAGGCACAAAAATTATTAAAAGGCTTAACTGCTTATTTTCATTCAAGGGTCATAACTCAACCCAAAATCATTCAACTGGAAAATCCAATATTATAAGCTCTAGTACTTGAGGTATCAATCAATCCTGATAAGTTTCACTCAACTTGCATTAATAATATAAGAGAAATAGTCCGAACAAACATTTCAAAAAAATTAATTTAAGGGCCATAACTCTTGCTTAAGTTTTGCTGAAATTGCATAACTTGTCTTAACAAGTTTTAAGACGGACTGACGGACAACGGAGAAGTGATTCCTATATGTTGCCACTACTCTGTATCAGCGCTGAAGAATTGTGATGTCCTAATTGAACCACTAAATTTAAATTACAATTAGAAATTTAGATTTTAAAAAAAGTAAAAAAAATAAAAATACTTACCAGCTTTTATGGAACAACAGGACACTTTACTGTGACAGATTTTTTTATCTCCCCAAAGACATTCAACATAAGGTACAAAGCCAAGGGATGTGGAGTTAAAACATTTCACAGTTGAAGAGTCTCCGTCCTTCACAAAGATAGGTCTATGATCATCTGTTTAAACACAATTAAACATAATTCAGAAAAAAAATCAACATTTACCCTGCAAATAATTTATAATGTATTTGATTGGTCAAGTTTATTAATTTAAATTAACTAAGCTATGAATTTGTGTACTGGACTTGCCAAGTTCTGAAATTAACAAACTTTCAGTACTGGACCTGACAAACTTCGAAATTAAACCTGTCATATGTTACTTTGTAAACTGGACTTGTTTTGCTCTGAATTTTGTTCAATATTATTTATTTTTTTAATTTGACAAAATTAACCTACCCAAAGTTGTGTACTTGATTTATTAAGCTCTGAAATAGGACCTGTAAGATGTTAATTAAATGTGTACTTGACTTGCAAAGCTCTGATATTGGACCTGTCAAATGTTAATTTGTATACCTGACTTGTCAAGCTCTGAAATTGGACCTGTCCAATGTTAAATTGTGATTGTGAACCTGACTTATCAAACTATAAAATTGGACCTGTCCAATGTTAATTTGTGTACCTGACCTGCCAAGCTATGAAATTAGACCTGTCCATTGTTATTTTGTGTACCTGACTTATCAAACTATGAAATTGCACCTGTCCAATGTTATTTTGTGTACATGACCTGCCAAGCTCTACAATGGAACCAGTTCAATGTTAATTTGTGTACTTGACCTGCAAATCTCTAAAATGGGACCTGTCAAATGTTATTTTGTGTACATGACCTGCCAAGCTCTGAAATTGGACCTGTAAGATGTTAATTTGTGTACTTTACTTGCCAAGCTCTGAAATTGGACCTGTCCAATGTTAATTTGTATACTTGACTTATCAAGCTCTGAAATTGGACCTGTGCAATGTTAATTTGTGTACAGCCAAGCTCTGAAAGACCTATCCAATTTAATTTTTTTCTTTCTGCATTTTTTGTAAAGTACTGATATCTTTGAAAATACAAGAATCTTACACCAACTGCAGGTACAGACGGGAATATCTAGCATTTCAGTTACAGCGGTAACAAGGCTCTTCGAAGTCTATGCTTAGCAATTACTCAAGAGCTAGCTATACCAGTCTGTGACAACAGTCGTGTTTGATTCTTATTTTTGCATATTAAATATTTAGAAAAAAGTATCATAGTTTGGAACAAAACTAGAACTGCCACTATCATGGCGTGAATACCCCCGCATACCACTTTGTCAGAATCAACAGTGGCCATTCAGAGCTCAAGGACAACCTCCCTGCCAAATCTGAGTTTACTAAGCCAGTGCATTGCTAAGTTATGTATTCTACATGCTTCAAATGTGAAAATGTCAAAATCAATACACTGCGGACAGGCATTCTTAAGCAATTGAGAAGAAAAGCTTTTTCTGTCAAGGTCCCTGTGACCTTGACCTTTGACCCAGTGACCTCAAAATCAATAGGGGTCATCTACTAATCATGACTAACCTCCATGCCAAATATGAAGACTGTGGGTCAAAGGAATCTTAAGTTATTGAGCGGACAAGCTTTTTGAAGTCAAGGCCCCTGTGACCTTGACCTTTGACCTGGTAACCTCAAAATCAATAGGGGTCATCTACTAATCATGCCTAACCTCCATGCCAAATATGAAGACTGTGGGTCAAAGGAATCTTAAGTTATTGGGCGGAAAAGCTTTTTGAAGTCAAGGCCCCTTTGACCTTGACCTTTGACCTGGTGACCTCAAAGTCAATAGGGGTCATCACTAATCATGGCTAACCTCCATGCCAAATATGAAGACTGTGGGTCAAAGGAATCTTAAGTTATTGAGCGGACAAGCTTTTTGAAGTCAAGGCCCCTGTGACCTTGACCTTTGACCTGGTGACCTCAAAGTCAATAGGGATCATCTACTAATCATGACTAACTTCAATGCCAAATATGAAGACTATGGGTCAAAGCAATCTTAAGTTATTGGGCGGACAAGCTTTTTGAAGTCAAGGCCCCTGTGACCTTGACCTTTGACCTGGTGACCTCAAAATCAATAGGGGTAATCTACTAATCATGACTAACCTCCATGCCAAATATGAAGACTGCGGGTCAAAGGAATATTTAGTTATTTGGCGGACAAGCTTTTTGAAGTCAAGGCCCCTGTGACCTTGACCTTTGACCTGGTGACCTCAATGTCAATAGGGGTCATCTACTTATCATGACTAACCTCCATGCCAAATATGAAGACTATGGGTCAAAGCAATCTTAAGTTATTGGGTGGACAAGCTTTTTGAAGTCAAGGCCCCTTTGACCTTGACCTTTGACCTGGTGACCTCAAAATCAATAGGGGTCATCTACTGATCATGACTAACCTCCATGCCAAATATGAAGACTAAGGGTCAAAGGAATCTTAAGTTATTGGGGGGACAAGAAAAAACCGACGGACAGCCGGACGGCCGGACGACCTGATTCCAGTATACCCCCCTTACAACTTTGTTGTGCGGGGGTATAAATATAAAAACTGATATTTTGGTTTTTGCACTTTTTTCTTGCACATTCAGTAATAAGTGAACTTATTAATTCATTCATAATGGCAAAAAAATGGCATCATCCTAAGAACAAAATTCATTCATTAAATTAGGGGTGTAAATCAGATTTTTCTAGCATCAGTGTAAACATTAGATAATCCCTATTTTGTAAGCTAATTTTATTAGAAATACATGTATATTTTTGTGGAAATAGGTAAAAGATGGACAGTTTTTCTAACCAAAAAATTTTGAATTCTATCTAGTTTATTTATTTTTCTTTGTTGGGTTCTATGTCACACGGACAAAGTATAGGTCATATGGAGACGTTCCAGTTTTACTGGTGGAAAAAGACCTCAGGTGCCCTTCTGTGCATTATTCCAGGCACAAACGGGCACCTGAGTAAAATCACCAATGTTCCATAAGCTATCTGGATAGCTAGCTTCTGACATGAAAGATTCTAAGGTCCCTGGCAGGATTCCAACACACAGCAGTGAGGGGCAAGTGGTTTGAAGTCAACAACCCTTGCCATTCAGCCAAGGATGCCCAAGATATTACTAATTTTCAAAGTTAGAATAATAGACAATTAAGTGAAAATGATTTTGTTAGCACATTCATAAACCATTAAAGCTTAGGTAAACAATAATATACCTTTTGGTAATCATCAAGTAAAGGGGCATAGAAAAAAGAAAAAGCGATACGTACCTTCAATTACAAACAGTTTACTCTCTGCTGTTACATTCACACCACCACCAGCATCTATAATGCATTTATACGTCCCTGCATCTTCTCTCTTAAGGCTCATTATCTTGAAAATCGCCCAGTCGAACTTTCCATCTGTTCTCTTATCAGCGCTCTCCCTTTTATCTATCAATGTTCCATTATGCTCCAAGATGAAGGAAATATCTGGATTTGTTAAAGAATACTCAGCAGGTGACCTACATTTGAACTGTCCTTCGTCGCCTACTTTCTTCACTTGATTTTCAGGCTCTAAATACGCCTTCGATTCATCTGGTATAAATGATGAGATAACTATCAATATACATGTAGAGTACCAATAATCTAATTTGCATAATTACATTTTAGTTACACAAAATCATTTATAAAGTTTGTTAACCTATTTCGTATACCCCTAGCCTGATGACAGCAACTGATTCTACCAATGCAACTGGTGCAGACCATGAGCCAAAGGCACATTTGTGCTATCTGATCATGGTCTGCACTGTTCGATATTCAGTCTGTCAGTTCTTATTTTGAATTTTTTTGCTATTCAGTAAGTTCTTATTTTGATTTTTTTTTTTAAATTATGAGCGATTATGTCCAGATTAATAGAAGAACAAGTCCATTTGGTAAGGGTTAAATGATGTAAAGCTATAACTGGCAACATCATACTATAAAATTTTTATTTTTAAACTGAACAACTGTATGGATTCTTTTCATATTCTTATGGTCATATCTGTAGTGAGTTTTAATTCGAGTGAGACTGTCTCTGTTATTTTACACACATAAATGATTTACAAGAGGGCCATGATGGCCCTAGATCACTCACCTTTGATACAATACATAATCATAAAACTTCTACGCTCTTGCCACTGTACTTTCACAGAGAAAGATTTCAAGATATTTCCCTTTACAAGTCTATGTACATGTATATACTAAACTAAGTTATCCCCAGGCTGGGGCCATTTTTGAACCCCACAGGCATGACTTACGAAACTTTTGTAGAAATATATATATCAATAGGAAATACTTTATGCAAAAATTCTATGCTCTGGGCACTGCAGTTTCACAAAAGAATAGGACTTAAATGTATTTTCTTAAATAAGTCTATATACATGTAACTAAGTGACCCCTAGGACAGGACCCATTTTGACCCAAGGGACATGATATACAGACATGTAACTTTCATGGAAAATCACAAATGAGCCTTGTAATGCCATTGTTATTTCTGAGAGGAATTTTGCTACTATATTTGTACAGTACAAGCGTTTGTAAACTAAATGACCTCCAGGGCAGACATTTGTGGACACAGGGGGATGACTTTTATTACTTTTGTGACCCTGGGTGCAGGATCAATTTCAATCCCAGGGACATGATTTATGTAAGTTATGTAACAGACCATAAGTTGATGCTTCCTAAGCACTGGGCATTGTACTTTTGGAAACAAAGTTTTCTACAGCATTTTTATGATACAAGGCTATGTAAAATGAATGACCCTTAGGGCAGGGCCATTTTGTACCCGAGGGTGATGACTTACATTTTTTTGTAGGGGTTCGCTTGGCAATGCCACATGCCAAATACCTAAGCTCTAGGCATACCAGTTTCACTAAAGAAGACTTTAATGTATTTTCTTGTATAGAAATCCATATGAACTAAGTGAACCCCAGACAGGACCAATTTTGACCAAACGGGCATGATTTATGTAAGTTTTGTAGACCAATATGGTGACTGATTTGTGCCATTTCGTTTTTTCGCCCCACGACCCCGGCAAACAAAAAGTCAAGAATCAACAAGTTAAAATGGCAAAGGTGCAGAGCAAAATCATGCCCCGTGCCTCCAGTAATTAGCGTGTTTATGTGCTTTCACTTCTTAATTCTCAACTTTTCCCTTGGCAGGGCTACAGGAAAAAAATGGCACAAACCAGCCACCATATAGCAAAGCTCTGGCCATTATACTTTCAGAAAAGAAGTTTTCTAAGACAATTTTATGAAACTAGGGACCCTCAGGACGGTGCCATATTTGACCTAAGGTAAGATGAGTTAGGAGTTTTTTGTATGTTCTGGGCTTTCACAAAAGAAGTCTTAAATGTTTTTTCCTATAGAAGTTTTTATAAAGAGACCCTTGGGCTGGGCCAATCTGATCCAAGGGACATTATATTTTATAACTTTTGTAAAGGACTACAAGATGAATCTTAATATGCCTAATATCTAAGTCCTTGGCATTGTATTTTCTTAGGACTGAAACCATTTATACAACTTTTGTAACTATACTATACTGTTTACTATACTATAATTAAATAATATCCGTCTTTATACAAGTGAAATATATTATACGAGGGTTGTCCCAATATTCTGTGACAAGATTGATTAAAAGCTAAATAAAACAGGTAAGAATTTGATAATTTAATATGTTTTAAACCCATTAATTTAAACATTTTCACAAATTTTCATAGATAAATATCAACAAACAACAAATATATGCCATAAACACCATGGCAACTAACTGCATCGCGGCGCACGTCCAATGTCAAAGACAGCATTAAATGTATATAAGGCGCCTTTCTCAAATACTCTCAATGGCTTTCAACGCAATAATGGTACCCATAAATCGTCAATTTCTGACTTAAATCATGTGGATGTTAATGTCTGTTGAATGTTTGGATGACAAACATTAATTTTTGATATACGCGAACTTCCGGTCTCGTTACTCCGGTTTAAGCTGTAGGAAATAGGCGACGAGGATCGGTCTTCCTATCCGTGTTTACCTTATTTTCGCTTTTTGTAGCGCAAAACTCTGGTTCCGTTCATGCCTTTTGTACGCAAATGCTCAGAATATGTTGCTAAACTGTTATAGTTAGTATATTTGTTGAAAATCGTTACATGTATCATCCCGAAATAGTCATGAAACCTGAGTGGCATGTTCACTACGCCGCAAATTCTTTGAACGTCGCCATTTTAACTTTCCTATTTTATATGAGATATTTTCATTTATTCGTATCTTTTTCGTTTTTTAAGTTATTAAACTAAAATTTTCAGAGATGATTTAAACATAGCAGCAGAGGAAGTCAACGTGACATTGTGCAGACACATCATCAGATATTTAAAATATACGTAATTAATTTCAGCCTATTCATAACAAAATGTAAATTATTTGACGTGCGCCGGCAACTCAAACCAATGTCGTTAATACTGAAAATTTCTAAGTAATTAGGGTATTTTTTTTGTAAATGATTTGTTGTAATGTTCAATAAAAAACTTAACGGTTATATGTGTGAATTATTTTCTATTGACGTTAAAAATGAACCGGCTATAAAATTTGTCACGGACTTTTGGGACAACCCTCGTATATATAGTAAACAGGTGCTGGATAATAATTTTGTTCTTGATGATCAAGGGAGGGAGATTATTTTGTGATAATTTAACCATTTTTGGGAAGTCAAATGTGTTGAATGCCTGTGGTAATTGATTAAAGTACATATATACATTATAAGGACATGTCTTAATTTTTTTTAACTTGCTCCGACGTTGTCGTGTGTTCCTCTCCTATAAGTTTACTTTAGTTATGTACACTGTAGGTTCCAATTTTGAAAAAAAAGAACACTTGAAAGAAATATTTTTGTATACTTCCTTAATTTTATGGATTAATCATTGCAAGATTCTACTTGAAAAAGCTGCATTATAATTTTGTTCCTGAATATTTTATCCTGTTAACTTAAACACACAATACATGTATTTACATTAATTATCATATTACATGAGGAGTTAAGCCATTACTGCAATAAGGTGACAAACTGTGTGTGTACATAACATTATTGATATATTAGGTTACAACACAACATAGTTTTGTCTTTTACAAATTTATAAAAAATATTTCAATAGGATATAACGTAATTCATACGCTTTAAAGGTGTAGACATATTATTTTAGCAGATAGAAAACTACATAACAGAAACAATCAAAACTTTGCAAAATCTAAGTATATGCTGATAACTAAAATAAATTTGGGGTCACTGAGATTATTTTTCGAGTTATCTACCCTTGTATCTGATTTTATTTTTGTAGTTAAGGTCATTTCAATGGCAGATTACTAGTCGTACACCAGATAAGACTTACAAACCTTGTTTTTCTATTGGTTTGTTTTTTATTTAATCCTAAATGGTCACAATTATCTAGTTTCCTTTCAGTAGTTTCAGACTTGCATGCAAAACTAAAACCAAAGTGTGATGCCAACGTCAAGGTGAGTACAATAGCTCTCCGTATTCTTCAAATGGCAGAGCTAATGAATAAGCAACAAAAATATACAGGTGAGCTAAAATTTGTAGGCACCATCCACTTACCTAGCATACAAAATCCATCGTATACTCCCAGTGTTAGAACCAGTGTCAGTACAAGAGTACCACAGTTACTGTTCATTTCTGAAAATGTCAATCTCATAGACGCTTCACCCAACAAACTTTTCCTTGACTGTCAGACTGGCCTGGTTGAAACAAAAATGTTAATATTTTATAATCACTTATCAGATACCATTGTCTGAAATAAACGTAAAGATAAAACATCTTGTTTATATTTTAACTAAACTTTCATAACATAAGGCCATCCTTAAAAAAATGTTTGTTTGCAGTAACGCGACCGACTCACAAAATTTGCTCCTACTCAAATTTTTTTTATTGGTCTGGAACTCTGGATAAAAATTTTTTTTTTTTGAATCAGAAAATTATGCCTTGTGCTTTGTTTTCGTTCTTTTAAAGGTTAATAGAAGAAGTAAAATGTAGTTCTTATTAAATTAGAATTCAGTTATCAATTTATTAATTATTACCAGATTATCAAAGCATATATTGTCCAGCATTTTGAAATTCCATGTTTATTTGGGAGTACAGTTCAATAAAAAAAATAAATAAATAAATAAATCGACCTACCTACCCACCTTGAAAATTCTGGGTCGGGTTACTGCAAAAAAACATTTTTTTAAGGACGGCCTAATTGGTAAAATGGTTTAAAGGCCTATTAAGCCAGAAATAAAAAGATATTAATCTTATTTCTCAAAAGCCTTGTAATTGTCTTGTGTATACATTGGCTATATAAATTAACTAGCTTCTGCATCTTTTTATGTTTGGCCATTAGTAAAGTTGTAATGACTTAGTATTTGGTAAAATACCACTTCTTTTTATGTTTTGCTATTTTTATGACAAATTATTTCACATTCAGTTCAACTATCTGCCAGTATCATCATGCTTCTAACATTATAAAATTGAAAGTTTGTTCCTTGTTGAATGAAAAAAATATACATTTATTAATGAAACTAAATTGGCCTTTTAGCTCAGTTTCAAACTAGGAGTAATAAATTATGTATACATGAGTATCATGTTGTTTATGAAAACACAAAAGTATTGGCATGCAGTCTGTGACAGAGATAATCATTTTGAAATACACTATCCAACCCTGTTATGTTTTCAAATAATAAAAAAAGAAAGAAGTTCAAACATAGCAGCAATTTATAATGTCTGTTGATATTTTAATCATTTCACATGCCAAAAGCCTATGCTGCTAAGATATTTATAAATAAACAATACAGCCAAATCTTAAGGCTACATAGTAGTGTACATGTAGTTTGTAGACATAAACATCATTTTTACTTTGTTAGCGGCACTAAGGGCTCACTCTTCAAACCATTTGTCCCTCACTGATGTGGGTTCGAATCCTGACAGGGACAAGTCTTAAACTTCAAAAAGACCTACACTCTATTCAAGAATGGTGCATAATGGCATTCACAGTGCTATGATACCTAATACAGACAAAATTAAAGTTATGTACATATCAGCCTAAAAAAAGACCCAAAATTACATTCATGCATCAACAAATACACCACTTCAATTACTTAACAATAACATAGAGTTCACTGAATCTGAAAAGCTTCTTGGAGTTCAAGTTGACAATTGCCTAATGTGGACACTCCAAGTTGAACAAACAATAAAACAAGAGCTGTCGGTAGGACAGCATGCTCGACTATTCTTAGTGATTGATAGTAAAAGAGCCTTGATAATGTAAAATTTTCTAAGTTAACAAAAAGGCCAAACTTTTCTCCAAATCAATGTTACAGTTAAAGGCCTTGGAGAGAGTCCTATTATGCTCTCAAAGAAGTGTATAAACTTTCAACTTGTTTTAAAGCCAGATGTCAATGGAATATGAAAATATACGAGGTGGTATGCAAACTTTAAATAACATAAATTCAAAGTTGAAAAAAGGGCATTATTTTGTCAAAATGCTTGATAGAGATACCTCCTCCTGCCTACAGGTTGATGGCATGATAGTGAACAAGTGTGCAAAGTTTCGAAGGCATATGTCAATGGACTTTGCAAATATTTGAGGTGTTACAAAAACTTTAACGTAATTATCAAATATTTGAGGTACATGTATTACAAAAACTTTAACATAAGTGGTTACGCCGATGCCGATACTCGGGTGACTAGTATAGCTCTACTTCAGCATGCCCATTCACGCACTAAAGTGCGTAATTCAAGCACAAAATTCTAGATGCACGCGTAAAAATTGTAAGTAGGGGGTACATGCCCGCAAAGTAAAATCATCAGAATGAATGTTTGGGATAGCCTAATTTGCATATCAACTAAATGTTGTTGCCATCTACAAATCGTTAGGAACAGTCTTATACCAGTCACAATTGCATGTCTGCTTTCAAAGTCATCTCAGTCTGATTCGTAAATATTTTAGTCATGTTTTGACATCACATTACTGTCTTAAGAAAAAAAGTTTTGGATATTTACAACTTCCAAAAAGTATTTTGTGTTCTCCAATGACCAGCAAAACGTTAGTCATTTTATTTTTTAACAACTACCTTCAATTGTGAGCTTTATGTATGTCATATTGAGATTTTGAAATAAATGTTCATAATTTCGGATATACAAAATTTTGGTTATGGGTAATAATCGTAACAAAATACCAGTGATTGTAATGGCTGTTATATCGCTACCTTAAGTGATGAGTTTGTGTCTGTGTTTGTTGGTAGTAATACTTAGTGAAACAGCTGTTCATTAATATCATGTTGACTAAAATGTTCTTACAAACAAAAACATGTTTAAACTTATCAGGCTGGTGAAAATGCCCGATCGGGCTTAAGACATAAAATATCATGTTTCTAGAAAAATAATTAAATTGTTTCTTTCTAACTTGTTTTGTTTATTCAGCATTTATATATGAAACAAATCAATATAGAAATATTTTGGTTATCTTTTATTTTCTTAGAATTATTTCCCTTTTTACCATTTTCTGACAACAAAAAAATTGAAGTTCATAAACATTATGTTGTAACATAAAATTCTTAATAGAAATGTGTCCAACAACTTCATTTTGCTCTAGATTATTGCGCCAGTACCTTAATTCAATATATTTGGATTAAATATTCTGTTTCTGGCGTTTATATTTTGAAAATTCTTAGCAACTGAACATTATACTTTGAAGTTTTCTCTGAAAACTGAAGGAAATGTATGTTGACAGGTGTTGGCGCAATGAATTAGTCCATAAAGAAGTTATTTAACATATTTTGTGTTACACATACAACACATTTTTTAAGGACTTCAAAAATTATGTGTTATAAAAACATGAAAAAGGGGAAATTATTCTCACAAAAGAGCTAGTAGCCAAATAAACTTCTTTCTGTTTACCTCAAATATTATTCTGAATAAACAAACAAAGTTTAAAACAAATATCTTTATTATTTTTCTAGAAATATGATTTTTTATGTCATAAGCCCGATCAGGCATTTTCACCAACCTGCTTATGACTATGTGTACCCCCAGACTTTAAATGTACCCCCAATTTTCAATGACAGGGGGTACATGTACCCCTACGTTTGAAATTGAGTGGGCATGCTGCTACATATTCTTATCAAATAGTCAAGCTATAAAAAATGCAATAGTATTCTGTATCTTCTTTTACGGTGCCTATATTTGCAGATGCACCATCTGACCCTCTTTTCAAAGAATTAAGATGGATGAAATTTAATGACAGGGTTGAGTACAAAAAGGCTATCCTGATATACAAATCATTACATGAAGAAAACTCACCATGCTACATGAAAAGAAATTTTCAATTTGCCTCAATTTTATATGACAAAAATCTCAGATCAACAAGCAATCTTAATCTACATATACCTAAGCCTAATCTTGAGTTAAATCGAAAATCACAACTAAAATCTGGAATAATATACCACTCTTTGAACACCATTCTGAAACTACTGAAAAGTTCAAACAAGAACCGCTTGAAACAGGTGATGCTCCCCGAATAGGTTTTGGACATGGGAAAGTATACCTCTTGTAGTGTCAAGAGTTATCATTAGATCCCTTGATTGTTTTACATGTCCAGTGTATAGCACTGATACATACGAGAATTACCGGGGTTTCTTACTAGTATACTTCTAGGAAGGTGGGAAACACCAGGTACGTATATAAACGTTAATATACCTACCTGGAAACACCGACAGTATTTCTGAAAAATCCAAAGACCAAGTGTGTTACCCAGGATCGAACCCATTGTCAATCTCAGAAGAGTTCTCAGAAGTGACAAGTGTAGTCACATTCTACTTAGTGTTGGTCATGTTTTAATTTTAATAACATCTCTGAAAAACGTCTGATTATTTTGCTATCTTTCTGATTAAAAGACCAGAATTAGTCTACAGTAAACAGGTAAAAGACAGGTGTACTTTCGTTTTACAAAAATGAAAATAAAGTACGCCGTCCAGGCAAGAAGTGAAAAATTATTTCATATGTTCTTGGTGAAAAAAATATTAACGATTGTATTTTAGAAGTATTTTGCCTGAAAGTTTCTAAGGAAAAACCTACCTTTCTTCAATAATAATTCATTAATTTTCCATAATCCATTATGCAAATGACACTGGCATCAGAGCTTCAAGTTGCTGTCAGTTAATTATTTTTATGTGATATAAAAATAATTGTTCCAGTTTGTTGATACAAAACAATAAAATCATCAAAAAATACACTTTCGTTCTCTTAGTCTCTGTCTATAAATTAAACATGGTAATGAACGCAGTTCGGGAGTCAACTTGTTTTCAAAGAGTTTTTTTTGACACACCGTGAAATTCCTTTTAAATACAGCCGATGACCAATAGAAAAACTATTTTTCTACAAACAATGTCATTTTCAGAGTTTAAATAAGAAAAATGCTAAAATTACTCTCAGAGGTGTTTCTACCGACGACCTTTCACCTTGTACTTCCGGTATGAGCGGGACGGTATACTTTGCAGACGACTTTGCAGACAAGTTAAACATAGAGGGATTTTGCAGACAAGTTAAATAAAGAAGGATTTTAGATTTTGCAGACAATATAGATTATATAGGGGGTGTTTAATCCCTTGTCAAAAGGTGTGAATAGGCAATTATATTGATTTAATGCCATCTAGAAAGATCTATGATTATTTGCAAAACTTTATTTATTATTTGAAAAATAGTTTTAATGATGTTTTTTTTTTAGAATAATTTATCATTATGCTTTTATAAAAAAAAATATAAGAATATACCTAAAAAACACTAAGTAATTGCATGAAATAGAATATAATGATTATAACAAACAAACAATATTAATTAACTTTTTTTAAGTTAATACATAAAGTATAGACAGAAATAATGTTGAATTTTGCAGACAAGTTAAACTAAGAAGGATTTTGCAGACAAGTTAGATATAGAACAAAATATAAAATCATAGGTGAAAATAAGGAAAATTTATATTTTGCAGACAAAATTTATGTTGAATTTTGCAGACAAATTAAATTCAGAACAGTTGACTATTAGGAAAATCTGTATTTTGCAGACAGAATTTTGCAACCAAGTTAGATATAGAACAAAATATAAAATGATAAGGGAATATAAGCAAAATCTGTATTTTGCAGACAAAATAAATGTTGAACTTTGCAGACAAGTTAGATATAGAACAAAATATAAAATGATAAGGGAATATAAGCAAAATCTGTATTTTGCAGACAAAATTTATGTTGAATTTTGCAGACAAATTAAATTCAGAACAGTTGACTATTAGGAAAATCTGTATTTTGCAGACAGAATTTTGCAACCATTGGTTAGTACTGTATAGAACAAAATATAAAATGATAAGGGAATATAAGCAAAATCTGTATTTTGCAGACAAAATAAATGTTGAACTTTGCAGACAAGTTAGATATAGAACAAAACATAAAATAACAGTTGATTATAGCTTATTTGACCTAGAGTCATGAAACTTTACAGGAATGTTGCTCAGCATGTGTTGTTGTGCACCTTGGGTTTCGTTTGTGGATTTATTCTGTTTGATTATGGTTATTGCCCTTGACTTAGTAAATATTGCATATTTTCAACTTGTGTCGCATGAAACTCAAAAGTATTTGACCTAGAGTCATGAAACTTTACAGGAATGTTGATCAGCATGTGTAGTTGCACACCTGGGTATTTTCATGCGAATATGTTTAGTATTTTTATAGTTATCGCCCTTGACTTAGTAAAAGTTTACAATTTTCAACTTGTGTCGCATATATGTCAAAAAGTATTTGACCTAGAGTCTTGAAACTTAAAAGATTGTTGGGCAGCATGTGTATTTGTGCACCTTGGGTTTCGTTTGTCGATTAATCCAGTATTTCTAGAGTTATTGCCCTTGACTTAGTAAAAACCATTCCATTATGTTGTGTTATTTGTTCCTCGAGTGCTTGAGTTAGAATCAACAAACTTTACAGGAATAATGATCAACATCACTTTTTTCAGTTTTGTTAGAGTTATTGCCCTTGACTTAGTATAAATTTGCAATTTTCAAATTGTTCATGCATAACTAAAAAAATATTTGACCTTTAGGTCTGAAAGTTTACAAGTATGTTGGTCAGCCATGTACTTATGCACCTTGGGGTTTGCTTGTGGATTTATTCTATATTTGTAAAGTTCTTGCCCTTTACTTAGTAAAAGATTTTTAGTTTTCAACTTATGGCACATATAGCCCAAAAAATATTTGACCTAGAGTCATAAGATTGACAAAACATTGGAGTGTGGGGACAACCGTGTCCTATGGACACATTTCTAGTTTGCATATGTTTTGTATATCTTTTACAGACAGACTATTCTCAACCATACCAGTTCCTCCCCTGATGTTTCCTCCCCCATTTAGGCCTATTTGACCTGTCTGTATATATGAAGATTGTTCCTCCACCCATTTTAAATTCTTATGAATAGCTTTATATTGATTGATAAATATAATTATTTATTTATGTATATTAGAAAAGGAAAATCTTAAGCAGATTACTACAAATATAAGTTACCAAGAAATGTCAAACAACACATATGCCTCCCTCTCAAGCCCTTCACTCATACTAGGCCTATTGGTAATTTTGTTATAGAAAATGCCATAAATGGGTGCCTTGAAGTGTTTAGTTACAACCAATCAATATGTAAAATATGAAGACTTGGTAACTTTAAATTGGTGTCAAGAGAGTAAGTTGAAACCATTTTAACATTCTAGGTTATTGTGACCTTTGACCTAATGACCTCAAAATCAGTAGGGGTCATCTTATAGTGATGACCAATCAAAATGTGAAACACAAAGACTTGATAACAAGTAGTTTTAAAGATAATGAATGGAAACCATTTTGACATTTAAGCGCCCTTTGACCTTGACCTTTGATCTAAATACCCCAAAATTGATAGGGGTCATCTTCTTGTTATATCCAATCAATATGTGAAATATATAGACTAATTAGTGATAGTTTTCAAGATAATGAGCGGAAACCATTCTGATATTTAAGGCCTCTGTGACCTTTGACCAAGTAACCCCAAAATAAATAGGGTAATCTACTAGTTACAATGATTATCCAATGTATCAGTATCAGGTTGCATATTGTACCTTGACATTGAATTATTAAACTGTTTCTTAAATCATATTATTAACAACAACAAAAATTCATATTTTGACTTTGGAATACAAGTGTGACCTTGACCTTTGAGGAAGGGACCTTATTATTGCTTATGACACATTGTCATTATGTCAAACACATTTATTCATAATAATTAATAATTTAAAAATCATCCAGGAATGACAGAATTGTTGACCAGATATAAACAATATGTTACCATGACCTTTGAGGATGTGATCGACATTTTGTCATTATGTGCATAATAATTTTTAATCCATGTGCATAATAATTTTTAATCCATGTGCATAATAATTTTTAATCCATCCATCAAAGATTTTGGGAGTTTTAACAAAAGATGAACAAAGGCAGAATGTATATTACTGTCAGAAAATAAATAGTGACTTATAAAATATAGAATATTCTTTCTGTGTAATTCTTTTATATATTGGTAAAGCAAAATAAAAACACAAATGATGATTTTTTTAAATAACTTTTATATAGATAATATATATATATAATATTATAAAAACAAAAGTAAAGAATAAATCTACCTTTTTTAAATCTTGAATACCTAACAAATATATTGACTACACTGAGTAATATTTGAATTCTATAATAATAGAAAAAGTTCCTAAAAAAGAAAACAATCTGGAAATTACATATAATATAGATATAAAGTTCAAAATCTGTAAACTATCACAATTTTGCTGGTAATGAAAACACAAACAACAGACACATACAATTACATGTAATTTAATGTAAATGATATAAAGCTCACCATCAGTGAGTAGAAAATTTGAACCAAGAATAAAGGAATATAGTTTTCAAGCTTATATCAAAACACAACACAATTATTTTTTTTAATATATAACAATAGCTGTCCGTAGGATACCATGCTCTCCTTTTCTCAGCGCTTGATATGAAACAAGAGCCCGGATAATGTAGAATTTTCCCTAGTTACAAATGCATGTTAAATAACAGGGACATTCTATGTTACAACTTTTTCGGGAATCATTCATATAATAATGGAATCAATATAATTTTACTGTTGATAGATTTTATAAAAATATTTCATAAGATATAGATTTATACCCTTTAAATAAATCTCAATTTTACATCCCTGCCATGAATTAAACCTTGTATTTATGACATACGCCTTGCAGACACACGTTTGTGACATTCAATTCATCTTAACCTGATATTTGTGATATTCAATAAATTACAGTCTTGCATTTATGACATCATTTGTATAACAATATATTATATGAGACATTCCTTGTAATTGTGACATTCAATAGATTAACATTAATAGTTCCAAATATCTCAATCACAACACTGATTTCTTGATCACCTTCAGTTATCAATAGATCACAGTCGTGCTGCATTTATGGCATTTAATAGGTAACATCGTTGTGTTTTTAACATTCATCTAACCGTTGTGGTTATGACTTGACATAAAATAATGATGCTACTTTTAACATTCATCTGACCACAGCTTTCAATATGACTTCACATAAAATAATAGGCATTAATGAGGAATGTTTATAGTACATATTTCACATGGCACGGTTTATACAAGATTAGCTGCCTTGGCCATGTTATAGAAAACAGTTGATGTGTCTGCTAGCAGGTTGGCAGGAGAGTCAAACTCACGTATGAGACCCTGGTCTAAAACTATGATTCTGAAATAATATAAAAGTAGTTTAATATCACTGTTATCACGTTTGATTTGTAACATTTATTGAATGATTTGAAATAAAAGCACCCCACCTATCTTTCCTCTCTACCATAAACATTAAAATGGTCAAATGTGTCAGAGTGGTAAAAGGTCAGTGTTATTGACTATTGGACCGGGCTGTTCAAAACATCTGTTTAAGTTAACCACTGGATAACACATTTTATCCGTTAGATAACTTTTGAACAACAGAATTTATCCAACAGACTATTTTAGCCAGTGGATAATGATTATATCCATAGGTTATCACTAACCAATGTTTTGAACAACTGGGTCCTGGTCACTTTCTTCTCACTGGTTGATTTTGAATCAAATCAGGGGCAGAAAACTCTTCCATGTGAGAAAGCTATATCTAGCTTGCAGGTCAGCCTTTCAACACAGGTGCAAGCCCAAGCATAAAAATACTGGATTGGAGCATATTGGAGTCTTTCCTCCATCCGTAAAAGTTGAAAAGTTGCAACATGACCATGACAGTGTTCTAAAGACATAAAGACCCAATCAACATATTGTCACATTAGTGCAATAATGGATTAAGTCCTTCAAAACTTAATAGGGAGTTAACCAGTTATTGCGCTAAGGTGACCATATTATACAATATCAAAGAAACGTTGACTTACTTTTCATAGTCCATAATAGTATTGAGACGATGAGCTATGGTTATAACGGTGCACCCTTTAAACTCCTCCCTGATTGTATTCTGTATGAGATCATCCGTTTCCATGTCAACGGCAGCAGTAGCTTCATCCAGGATGAGAATCTTCGTCTTGCGTAACAATGTACGTGCTAGACAAACCAGCTGTCTTTGTCCAACACTAAACCAAGACAAATCAATCAAAGTAGGTATATAAACCAGCATAATGTAATCTTAGAACAAATGTATTTAGAAAATTACTTTACACATTTGCTAAAAACTAAGTTTGATTTAAAGGCCCATTAAGCCCCATAAGTGCTATTATTCGAATGAAGTCCGTCTGTTATCAGTTTGACTTCCTGTAAAATTAACAAAGAAGGACTGAATATAAGAAGAATTTGCATTGGTCATTTTAAAATCAGAAAACTGAAATCGGTGAATCTTGTTGCTCATTCTAAAATAAAATGTGAAGGATAGTTCTAATTACCATCCTTAAATGAAATTTTAAGGATAGCTCTAAGATATAATGTAAGGGATAGTTTTGCCACTATAAAATAAAATGTAAAGGATAGTTCTAAAATAAAATGTACAGGATTGAGGACAGTTTTTTGGTATCTTGGTAACCTTGAAACATTCTTACCTCAAATTTTGACCACCTTCCCCACATTCGTGCTGTAAGCCATCTTCAAGCCCTGTCACAAATGATTTTAAATGTGCATGTTCCAGGGCCATCCAAACCTGCTGGTCACTATACTGGTCAAGAGGGTCAAGGTTCATCCTCAAAGTCCCAGAAAATAGCACTGGATCCTAAAGATTCATGAAATGCACATGAGTGTTTTAGATTATTACTTATTTTTCACTGATTTTAAAGCAATATGTATATCACATCATTAACATTAACTAATTTGCTTGGGATCTTTTCAAATAAAATCTATTATGTGTTAGTCTAAGGTACAACAAAGTTTATTTTATCATGATATCAGTATTTTAATACTTTCTCCAGCATATTATACGGAAATATCTTAACTCCCTGTCACTAATGACTATTTTGCTAGTTTATACCATTTTCAGCACTAAATATCATTATCCAAAGCCATAGAATGCATAGTACATGAAAATACAGTCTCAGGATTTTTTTTCTTTGGTTGGGTTTTATGTTGCAGTATAGGTCATCAGGGCCACTTTGTAGCTGTACTGGTGGAGGACGACCTCAGATCCCCTTCTGTGCATTATTTCAGGCACAAACGGGCACCTGAGTAGAACCACAGTGGCACCTGAGTAGAACCACATGGGCACCTGAGTAGAACCACATGGGCACCTGAGTAGAACCACATGGGCACCTGAGTAGAACCTCATGGGCACCTGAGTAGAACCACACGGGCACCTGAGTAAAACCACATGGGCACCTGAGTAGAACCACATGGGCACCTGAGTAGAACCACATGGGAAAACTGAGAATCAACATCCTGTAAGTAAATGAAATGAGAGACAAAGTATACCTGGGGTAAGATAGTAAGTTTGGCACGTAGATCATGCAGACCCATATCAGAGATTCTCTGTCCATCAATGACAATACTTCCACCAGCAGCCTCGATCAACCGGAACAATGCCACCGTCAGTGACGACTTCCCAGCACCAGTTCTTCCAACTATTCCAACCTATAATACACCAAACAAATGACAGAAATAATAACATACAAGGAAGAAATAACCATCACCAGATTAGAGCATCATTCTGAGGACCAGTTTTGATAAAAAAAACATGCTTGATCAGTTTGAAACACACGATAATGGCCATAAAGGTGTTTAAAAAAAAAGAAAGAGAAAAAACATGAAACTAAATTTTAGCAATTTTTAACCTATATTTTCCAGACACTGTTTTTAAAATTTGTTTTCTGACACTGATCTATACAAGCTAGACAGATTGCTTCCTGATTTAAAAAAGTTCAACATTTGGAATTCAAAAATATACAATGTTGAGTTTGGGGAACTGATTATAAGTGAATTTCCTGAAGCATTTCATTATGGCACCTGATCACTTGATAAAACTGCGTATACATTTACATTATTGCATGAAAGTGTCGAAAAGGAAAATAAAATTGTGACATTTCCACAGGGGAATCACATGACTTTGTATAGTAATACTGACGAGAAAAGGCGACTGCTGAGCTTCAGTATGTTCATTATTTTGCCATACAAATGTATTTAGGTTTTGTAAATAAAACAACACCTTGCCCATCATATACATGGTAACTTTCTTCAAATATCAATACCAAGTGCATTCTCCTACATTTTATGGTTTCAAGTCCAGTTTCTTCAGATGGCTATAAATACAAATGAACAAGTGTATCAAATTATATCCAGAAAACTTACCCTTTCTCCACCTCTTATGTCACATGATATTCCCCTCAACACAAGGTCAAGGCCGTCTCTGTACCGAGTAGAATAGTTGTTAAATCTTACATTACCCTGATCTGGCCAGTCTTTTGGTGGTCGATGGAAATGTAACACCCAATCAGCCTGTAGTTTTTTTGAAATAAAACATCATGACTGTGTTTAAATATCTAGTATGTTGAAAAGTATGATAACAAACATACATAAGCAAGAATGGTGTCTGTGTGTAGAATTAACAACAGAAGACATTGCTAAATCGCCAAGATTGGATATTTTTCTGTCAAGATTTTTGAAATAAAACAAACTAGAACTATCACTAAATGTGATTAATACCCCCACAAGTCTTCTTTGGAAATGAGGATGTTACTAGTAACAGAATACCTTGTAATAGAATTGAAACATAGAGTTATGGTTGTGGGCAATTAAAGATAATTGTGGTTCATGTATGTTGCATTTCCTTTTGATGTGGTTGGTTATTGATGAAGTTTAATTGAATTACTCTGTAATAAGTCCAGAAAGACAAAGAAAAAGAACAAAGGGCAATAACTCTATAAATACTGAAGATAGAGTTATAGTTCTTGTGCACTGCACTTCCTCTTATTGTGCTTGACCATTGTATGAAGTTGTTTTGAATTCCAACCAGTACGTTTTAAGTTATGCTCCGGACAAGGAAAAGTATCAAAGGGCAGTAACTCTGTATTTTGTCAAAATGGAGTTATGGCTCTTGTGCACTGCACTTCCTTTTAATGTCCTTGACAACTGTATGAAGTTGTATTGAATTCCAAACAGTAGTTTTCAAATTATGCTCTGGACAAGGAAAAGTAACAAAGGGCAGTAACTCTGTAATTAGTCAAGATGGAGTTATGGGCTTTATGCACTGCACTTCCTCTCAATGTGCTTGACCATTGTATGAAGTTATAATGAATTCCAACAATAAGTCTTCAAGTTATGGTCCGGACAAAAGAAAGCAATGGAAAAGTAACAAAGGGCAATAACTCTGTAATTAGTCAAGATGGAGTTATGGTTCTTGTGCACTGCACTTCCCCTTATTGTGCTTGGACATTGTATGAAGTTGTTTGGAATTCCAACCAGTAGTTTTAAAGCCATGCTCTGGACAAGGAAAAGAAACAAAGGGCAGTAACTCTGTAATAAGTCAAAATGGAGTTATGGTTCTTGTGCACTGCACTTCCTCTCAATGTGCTAGACCATTGTATGAAGTTATAATGAATTGCAACAATTAGTCTTCAAGTTATGGTCCGGACAAAAGAAAGCAATGGAAAAGTAATAAAGGGCAATAACTCTGTAATTACTTTAGATAGAGCTATGGTTCTTGTGCACTGCACTTCCCCTTGTTGTGTTTGACAATTGTATGAAGTTGTTTTGAATTCCAACCAGTAGTTTTCAAGTTATGCCACGGACAAGGAAAAGTAACAAAGGGCAATAACTCTGTAATTAGTCAAGATAGAGTTATGTTTCTTACACACTGCACTTCCTCTCAATGTGCTTGACCATTGTATGTAGTTATATTGAATTCCAACCATTAGTATTCAAGTTATGCTCCGGACAAGGAAAATGCAACGGACAAAAAAAAAGCAATGGAAAAGCAACAAAGGGCAATAACTCTGTAATTACTTTAGATAGAGTTATGGTTCTTGTGCACTGCACTTCCCCTTATTGTGTTTGACAATTGTATGAAGTTGTTTTGAATTCCAACCAGTAGTTTTCAAGTTATGCCCCGGACAAGGAAAAGTAACAAAGGGCAATAACTCTGTAATTAGTCAAGATAGAGTTATGGTTCTTGTGCACTGCACTTCCTCTCAATGTGCTTGACCATTGTATGTAGTTATATTGAATTCCAACCATTAGTTTTCAAGTTATGCTCCGGACAAGGAAAATGCAACGGACGTCTGGACCGACCGACCGACCGACCGCCCGACCGACCACCGGGTGACTCCTATATACCCCCCCAAACTTCGTTTTTGGGGGTATAAAAACTATTGTTTCAAATAATAATTTATCAGAGTACAATGTACATGCAAATTAAAAATATTCCCACTCCATACCAGAGCCTCCTGTCTTCAAACAAACTATTTATTAGATTAAAACTCTTGTATCCCGCACTGATAAAATTTAATGATGAGATACATTCATGTAGGGAAGAAAACCATGAAAAATTACTTTAAACTAATATGAAAAAAATCACTTTTGAAATACCTTTAATAACTTTTTCCATCAAAGATATTTAAAATTAAACTCAAAATAGGCCATTTTTATCTTAAAAATTTAGTAAAACAAAAATTCTATCCTTTAATTATATCTTCACTTGTAAAATGCACTTACAATTAGATAACTGTTACATAACTTATAAATGAAATATTGATGAAAACTCCCAAAAATGTCATTAATGAATAATTGCGAAAATTATCCAAACTTAACAAATTATTTTCCCCATATCTTCAAACAAACTTATCCTACTCTTGTATCCCTTAAAGATTTTTATATGAGTAAATAGTCAAAATAGATCTATATAGGGATGGATGTCTTTACAACTACTATGAGAAACTTCCCCTTCAGTAATTCTGATTATAATGATATTTCCTATCAAGGATAAGTATATATTCTTTACCTCAGTTTCAGCCTCTGTATATTCTTTCACACGTTCCACCGACACAACATTTGTCTCTACATCACTTGTATTACGTACAAGAAAGTTCAGTGCTGCTGTTACCTGTATACAAAATGAGAAAGACAGAGAATGTTGAACTGAAACATTTGTTTATAAATCATGTGTGTCCAGTCATTTCTTTGACTTAAAGCTATAAATTGTGTTTTTTTTAAAGTTCGCAAAAGATACAATTACTTTGCAGATCTATACATTTACATGAAACTAAATAACAAAATGATAAATATGTATTTTGCTCCCAGAAATACAAGATTTATCAGTGTTCAGCATTTTAATGGTGCTATAATTTTATACTGTGTTGCAGACATTATTATAAGTGTTGAAACTTTTCAATGTAATAACACAACATTACTGTGGTCATTGAAAAATTTAGACATATAATTATGTACACCCATGACATAAACAAGATGCTAGCTGAAAGGAATACCATGGGCTTTTTTTAAAACCAGAAAACAATTTTTTCCAGAAACAAAAAAAATAAGATCTCTAATTATGTTCCCTAAGACAGTGTGAAATGGTTTCTTGTATACAGACATAGGCCATCTGCAAAAGTGCTAGCATATTCGGTAATTTTTAACCTTATATAACAGATGCCAATAAAAGGCCTCTTTCCAATTGAATTTCTTTAAAATCATGCAGTTTTCCCAAAAATCTGAACTTACACCAGCTTTTTTACTTCCCAATTTAGCAATTTTTAGCAGTAATTCTTCCCAAAATCGAAAGTACTTAAGTGAGAAAAATCACTGAGTACTAAAAAAGGCATATGTATGGAAACGTCTATTGCTTATTTTTAATTACAAATAATAAGTAGTACCTGTAATGCATAAGAGATGGACAATCCCACAAGACCTCCTGTGTTGCCAGGGGTAACTACAGCAAATATGGCTGCTCCAAAAACTATTAAATTACCCAAGATCTCCAAACGAAAGCCAAGCCACCTGAAAGTAAAGAAAATGCATGTTTCATGTTTATATAAATAATTCATCAAACACTATTAAGGAGTAGCCATTCAATTTAAGATGAAAATAAAAGTTCAGTCTCTGCACATGACTTTTGTAATTTATTCTGTAAAACTTTAAAAAAAGATGCAAATTCTGATCGATATACATGCATTTAAGATAAAAAAAATTTTTTTATTTTGTTCATTTATTAACTCAGATAAATCAAGTAATATTAAAGTTTCTTTTTTATGTATTTTACATGGCAATAAGAAAGTAAAAGGAAAGAAAGTGTTGGAATTCAGGATTTCTGTGATCTTTCATTGATGAAGACATCTTTGTATATGTGTAATAGTGAGCATAATTCCCAACTTTACAGTGCCACTTCTCTTAAATATCATGCCTTCAGCGGCGACATAATATCTGACCCAGTCATAATGTAATGACACTGGACTTGACTCGTCCCATGATTATCCCATTAGTCCTAAATTCCTGAATACTAAACTTGGAAGCTTTAAGTGTTATTTTAACCAGCGTTTTGGTATGCCCTGTGGCCTTGGATTGAACCTGTGACCTCCAAATAGCCCACAGCTGCAATGTAACAGTTAAGCAGTAATTACCTATTGGAAGCAATGCCAGCAAAGTAGAAGACCATGTTGGTGTCCACTTTATGTTTTGACTCCATTATAAATCTCTCCTCTAATCTGTAACCTCTTATTGTGCTAGCACCTGAAAACACATAGATTTCATACTTAGTGAAATCCCAAAACTTGAAATGCTATATATGCAGTTTCTTTTTAGCAATATTCTAAGTAAAAGTACTGGACTTAAAGCTGCCATCTATAATAACAATATTGATGTATCATTGAAATATTTCTGGCAATCAATCCACATTTGAAAAAATCTAAAACTTTTTTCAGCAAGTTATACCTTACAAATAAAAAAAAATTCTTTAAATATTAAAAACAAGTAATGTAAATGATTGTATCTTACCAGAAATAGATTCTCCAAAATGACTGTAGATAGGTGACCTTGTTGTTGACTCCACACGCTTCAGTTGTCTTGAGGTGGGAATGTAAAATCTCTGTGAATCACAATATTATACAATAATTATATTAATATTTTATAACTATAAATATGACATATCAAATTAACTTAAGCATTCTCGATTTTGTTTTGTTCTGCAGAATCTAAAATATAAACACAGAAATACATTAATTCCATTAATTCACTATTTTTAGTGATGAATTGAATCATAGTCAATTACCCAATTAAGATGCATGTATGCACATAAATGAAATATGGGTGTTTTGAGTATAATGAATAAAAATATTTTAATGTACAGTATATTTGTAAAATATGAATGAAGGTAAAATATACTAAGATAAGATCATTTTGATTATTTAATGCAAAACATAAAGAATATATAGACAGGAGGTCATGCACCATTTACCATAGGCTATATTCTTCCCTCACAGACTCATGCTCCATTTCAAGAGGTTTAATTCCTCTCCCCTATATTCATATATACCAGTGGACAAAGATTTATGTTTCGTTACATAAAATAATTAATTCTCCCCAAATGGGTTTATTCACTATATACCAAAAACAATAGATTTATTCCTATATATCACATTATCAGAAGCTTAATTCAACTCTCTTTATATATCAGAGGTTTTATTCATCTGCCTTAGGAAAATTCCCTAAATACCATAGCTTTATCCTGCCCAAATAGATTTATACTTCTTGATATTGACAAATGCTCTTTATCTATTTCAGAGGCTTTTTTCCCCAACATAAGGTAATGTCCCATATCCAAAAGGCTTATTCCCTTCTTAATGTATTGGAGGCTTTTTCTCCTCAGATAAGTTCAAGCTTTAAGCCCTGGAGGCTGTATACCCCTCATATTGGCCATGCTCTACTTACATGTCATGTACTAGATGGTTTATTTTCTACACATGGGTTCATGTTCAATCATGGAATCATTTATTCCTCTCACCTATGAGGGTGGAATGCTCAATATAGAACATGCTTTATCATTCTTTATCATTCTCTCATTCTTTATTATTCTCTCATTCACTCAATTACTAAAAAACATACTCTGCACCATAGTTATATTGTCGATTCTAACACAACATTTCAAATGTAGGTTTTATGCATACAAATGTTTTGAAAAATATTTTGATCAAAAGCATTTTCCACTTTTCAATACATGCATGTACAAATCCAGGGTTGATTTTATATAATTTACTGCAGTTTTTGGGTCAACCCTCAAAATATTTTATGTATTTTGAATAAAAAGAGTGGAGTTTTGCCAAATTTTCAATGTTAAAGTTTATTATGATTTTATTATCTTAATTCAAGACAAATTCAATTCTAAAATATATGTACAGTACAACCTCTGCATAGCAACCCTCTGTAGAACAATAACCTCTTTACAACAATATGTCACCTTAATGCAGTGAACGGGTTAACTCCTTATATTATTTAATAGAAGATAACATTTTACTGCACTCAGGTGAGGAACAGTATCAATTTTTCCAGAGTAAGACTCAACAATATATTTCATCTATGAATAGCAACACATCTCAGCAACAACCAAATTCTTTGTCTCCCAAACGATGTTGCTTTGCAAGAGGTTTGAACTGTAATACAAGTAGTACAGACATTGTGGATAACAAAGAGAAAACATGAATTTTCATTCAAGATTATTTTGTTCATTTCAGATAACTTTAGTCATGTCATCATCATGCTATAAGACATACAACCTTTCCTCAAAATGTTTGTTAGAAAAGCAACAAGGAACAAATACTTATAAAATACACCAAGAATGATGGGCAAGACTATTACCCTGCTAGCAACAACTGAATCTACTCATGTGACCAGTGTAACTGATCCAGGTCAGCCAGTGCTAACATGCTGTCTGATCATGGTCTGCTCAACATGCTATTCAATTTGTGAAAGTTAACCAATAGTGTATTTTGAAAGATGGAGATTTAGCATGGAAAGGGTTAAAAAGGAGGATTTTTTATTGTCATGCACAATCAACCATTTCAATTAGGAACAACCCCTGTGTATATGTCCATGCTCCAAACTTACTTGTATGATATAATATACAACTAGCACTGGCACTAGGAACGTTACAAACAATGGGGTGCTATAAATAATCACTACGAACGTTCCTATAACTGCAAACAGCTGATTGAGGAAAGCGCGCAATATTTCTGGCAATCTGTTGTCAATAATTTCAACATCTTGCGAAAATCTGTGCAGAAAAAAAACACAACTACATGAAGTTGACTTTCTTATATTTATACAAATCAATATCAAAGATAAAGGCTTCTCTCAGTCCAACTAATTTAATACCAGATGCCTAAGGTCCTATGTCACATCTGACCTTGAGGTATGACCTTAAGTATTGACCTAGTCAAACAGTTCTTGCATGTCACATGCCATCTTATGATGCTTAACATTTGTGGCAGGTAATTTGAAATTCCACCAGTTTGAGCTAGTGCTAGTTATGGTGCAGACAAGCTGTTTGAGGCAATATTTTTGGCATTTGACCTTAGAGTAAGACCTTGACCTTTGACCTAGCTGAACGCTTCTTGCTGGCGACACACTGTCTTATGATGTTGAACATTTGTGCCAGTTTATTTGAAATTCCACCAACTAGTGATATAGTTATGGTGCAGAAAAGCTGTTTGAGACAATATTTTTGCATTTGACCTAACATATGACCTTGTCCTTTGACTTAGCTTCATGTTTTTACATGTGACCAGCCATCTCATTGTAAACATTTGTGTTAAGTAATATGAAAGTCCACCAGCTAGTGATTGTTACATGTATGGTGAGGACAAGCTGTTTGAGACCATATTTTTGCATTTTAGCTAAAAAAATGACCTTGACCTTTATTCTATACATGTATGATTACAACAGTAAGTAATGAAAACAACATCTTAAAGTGGTCTAATATGTTACTTAAACAACAACAAATCATAACACCCAGCTACAGCTTAAACAGTTGGTATTTAGCCTATATAATGACCAGAACCCACTAAAAAAATGGATATAGTACCCCTAATTTTCAACTGTTCATAATACAGATATATCCTAACCATTGATACAAGGTATCTACCTGAACAACGTAATAAAGAATTCCGAGGGGTAGAATTATGGATACCAAGTATGGGGTGCTGTAGGTTATTACAATACATGTACTTAGAACTCTAAAAAACTTTTTTAAAAAACCATTTATGTTTAATGGAAGATTGTTGTCAATAGTTTCTACATCCCGTGAAAACCTGCAAATAATAGCAAAACAAGCAGACATCAATATTTAAGCATGCATCAATTTTCAATGTACAGCATTTTTATTGCTTTATATACGAATGTATATGAACTATATAGAAGAATTACTCCCGAAACAGTCAATAACTACAACTTAAGAAGTAGTAAAAGCTATGAATTCATTGCAGAGAAAAGAAAACAAGTAACAAAGAATTACGTAAAGAGGAATTTTTTTCTAGTACCCGGTATATCTTTTTCAAAAAATGAAACATGTTACTATGACAGTAAGGGGAGTAACTCTTCCTGTAAAGCATTATGATTTTCTTCTAATGCTAAGTACTACAACAGTAGCTAAATACTACAACACCACTAACAGTGACACTGCTTCTCATAGTGGTGAACATTTCTATGAAGTTTTTTATTAGAATCCCACCATACAGGAAGGAGATTTGCTCTGGACAAAATTTCTATATTTAATCACCTCTAGAGACTTTGACCTTGCATATATTAACCTAATTTACATGTTTCATACCAGAAATTATGATAATGACCATTTGTGTTTCAATCCCTCAGTAATTGATTACTAAATGATCTAAATTCACATTTTCATATTTTTATCTTAACTTTGACCCCTATGTGTGACCTTGACCTTGTCTGCAGGTACCTTAATTTTGAAGTTATATTGAAATCCCTCTGTGCATAAAAGATTTGCTCTGGACAAGCATTTTTATTTTCTCAATAACTTGTAAGTGTGACTTTGACCTTTGACCTGGAGACCTAGCTCATGTACATGACACTGCTTCTTATAGTGGTGAATATTTGTATGAAGTTTCATTAGAATACCACCATGCGTGGAGGAGATATGCTCTGGACAAAATTTCTATAGTTTATCATCTCTAGTGACCCTGACCTTGCATATATTAACCTGAATTACATGTTTCATACCAGAAGTCATGATAATGACTATTTGTGTTTCACTTCCTCAATAAATGATGACTTAATGGTCTGAATACACATTTTCAATTTTCATCCAAACTTTGACCCCTATGTGTGACCTTGACTACAGGGACCAAACTTTTGCATGCGACTTTCTGCCTCACAATGGTGAACATTTGTTCCAAGTTATATAGAAATCCCTCTTAGTGACCTTGACTTTTAACCTAGAGGCCTGGTTCATGTGCCGGACACAGCTTCTCATAGTGGTGAACATTTCTATGAAGTTTCATTAAAATTCCTTCATGTATGTAGGAGATTTGCTTTGAACAAAATTGGACGCTGCTATATTAAAACCCGTTTTTTCAAACCGGTGCATAAAAAGCATTACAACAACAACAAATCATAAAGCCTAGCTAAAGCTTATACAGTTAGTATTTTGCCATAAATAGCCAATCTATGACCAGAACCTACTAAAAACATGGATATTGTACCCCTAATTTTCAACTGTTTATATACATGTACAGATTGATACAAGGTTACTACCTGGACAAGGTAATAAAGAATTCCGAGGGGTAGAAGTATGGTTACGAAGTATGGGGTGCTGTACGTTATCACAATACATGTACTTAGTGCACCAAAAAATGTTCTTAAAAAAGCCTTTATGTTAAATGGAAGATTGTTGTCAATAGTTTCGACATCCCGTGAAAACCTGCAAATAATAGCAAAACATGCAAACATTAATATTTCATGCATGCAACAATTTCCATTCTACAGCTATTATATTGCTTATGCATGTACTCTAAAGAAGAATTACTCCCAAAACATTCATTCAACTTAGAAGTATGAAAAATTATGTTATTCATTACAGAGAAAAGAAAACAATTTACGAAGATTTAATAAAAAAATCCTTTTTTTTTCGTAATATAATTTATATATTTCTTTAAAAATTAAAAAAAAAAATTAAATCACAGTAAGGGGAGTAACTCTTCCTGTAAAGCATTATGATTTTCTACTAATGCTAAATACTACAACAGAAGCTAGCAGAAGCTAGCAACAACGTTTCGTACAATGAAACATTGTGATCATAGAAAACAATGAAATATAATACATGTACTAATATGGATATTAACATAATTTCCGAATTGGATATTTCAGTGTTGTATATCAGATGATAAAAGGGTACTGTAAAATCTGCATAAAGCACCCCAAGGCTAACAAATGGCCTCATTTCAAGACAATCACCTTAAATATCAACTAGACCTATCACTGAAGGTGATTAATACCCCCACCAGCAACTTTTTGAAAAATAAGTAGTCTGAAGAAAAATTTCAACACAAACTATCAACTGTGTACAAAGAAATATTTCAATTAATTGTAATCCCAACTGGGGTCTCCAAATAAGCTTGCTTTTCACAAAGTTTGATTACAATATCTCATTCCTAACTCTAGTTATTGTCCGGAAACCAATTTTCTCTTTTTTTAGTAACGGTGACCTTGACCTGGACCCCAGAGGATCAAAATGCAATACCGTTCGGGGTCTTCATAATTATAAGCTTGCTATCGTAAAGTTTTTGTCCGTAAACCATTTTTTTTATTTTTAGTAACCTTGACCTTGACCCCAGGGGGTTCAAATGCAATACCAACTGGGGTCTTCATATAAACTTGCTATACACCAAGTTTGATTACAATATCTCATTCCTAACTCTAGTAATTGTCCGGAAACCATTTTTTTATTCTTTTTAGTAACGGTGACCTTGACCTTGACTCCAGGGGGGTTCAAATGCAATACCAGCCGGGGTCTTCATTTAAGCTTGCTATACACCAAGTTTGATCAAAATATCTCATATCTAACTCTAGTTATTGTCCGGAAACAAGTTTTCTATTTTAGTAACGGTGACCTTGGCCTTGACCCCAGGGGGTTCAAATGCAATACCAGCCGGGGTCTTCATTTAAGCTTGCTATACACCAAGTTTGATCAAAATATCTCATATCTAACTCTAGTTATTGTCCGGAAACAAGTTTTCTATTTTAGTAACGGTGACCTTGGCCTTGACCCCAGGGGGTCCAAATGCAATATCAACCTGGGTATTTACATAAGGTTGCTATATACCAAGTTTGATAACAATATCTCATTCCAAATTCTAGTTATCATTCGGAAACCGTGGACCGACCGACAAGCTGACTCCTATATACCCCCCCCCTAAACTTCGTTTGTGGGGGTATAATGAAACATTCTTGAACATGTTGGTTTGTTTGTCTTAAATTTACACAAATTTCAAAATATTTGTTTATTACATCTCAATGGTGTGTCTATCCATCTAACTGGCATTCCTGGATAACTTACCAGCTTAACTGGATAACTAACCAGAAATTACCCATATATGTATGTATACATATTTCAATGCTTTCTATTCTTATATACACTGCATTTACCAACTTACCTGCACTAGGTAGTAGAGGAAAGCCAGTGGTAGTATAATAATCATGAAGTAAGGCGTGCTGTAACTTATCACTATAAAAGAGCTTAAAGCTCCAAAAAACGTCATGAGAAATGTACGAAAGTTTGCTGGTAGGTTGTTATCTATTGTTTCTACATCACGGGAAAATCTGTGGGTGAAAATAAGGATTTCTCTGCTTATAATGTTTACATATATTACATGACAAAACAAATTAAAGTAGTTCTGCAGTAAATCCCATAATATCACTTCAATACAGGTTTAAATTGCTACCATATACCGTATTAGTGGTTTTTTCTGCGGTGACTATATTTCTGCGTTTTCTGTGGTCAGTTTCAGCACCGCAGAAATAAAACCCGCAGAAAATTTCTCCTAGTTTTTTTTTTTTTTTTTTTTTTTTTTTTAACGATATATGTCCTAAATTATGACCTGTTTCATCTAAAGAAATAACGACTTACAGATTATAACGGGTCATCGAGTTTTATAAAATTGCTTTCGGCTAAGTATGTAATATGTGCTTGTAAGGATGTACCTATTGTTAATTATGCCAATTTATGAAAAAGATATTGTTTGCCTGTACGCTAAAAACGTTGTTATCAACTAAATCATTAAAACCATTTTAACCCTTATACTGCAAAATAATCGTCGTATACATTAATTGTTGTCTGATTTAAGATAAACTTCTATTAATTTTATTAAATCAAAGATACTACCGGGGTATATTTTTCACACGTCATTTCATGCATATCAAAAGATGCATGCTGTCTATTGTTGCAAATTATATTTGTTTGCAAGCAAACAATATAGTTATTTGTAATTACTATAATAAAGTTTTGCAGTGATGACGATAAACAAAATTTTATTACGGATGTGTACATGCAAATAAAATAGTTACAGTAATGTGAATTAGACTTTGATAAGATGAACCGAAAATTTTAAATCACCTTTTGTCCAAAGACTGTGCCGCATAAATAAAGTCCGCAGAAATAAAAACATGCCAAAATTTGGAAAAACCGCAGAATTTGGAGCCCGCAGAAAAAACCACTTATACGGTATCCCATCCTTAGTATATAAAAATTGGGACATCTACTGCAGAACTTCTTTAGACACCTGTACTACCCTAAACTACATGTACATATAACCCGATCTTGTACTTCTTAAAATACTACAGTTTTTTTTTTTTCATTGGTTAATCATGACTTTTATATAGTTTTATAAACATGGCTGCTGTCAATTTATGAAGAAATCTCTTTTTTTTTCCCCTAAAAATATATTAGCATGCTGAATTATAAATATTTCTGACAGGCTATATGGCCATATATAAATGGTTGTTTGCAATATAACCATGATTTATATAAGGTCATATATCCTGTCAAAAAGTCTTTATAACTTATAAATATACAAAGCATTAAATTTTGTCCTCAATATAGAGCTTGATTAGCCTGCACATATGTACAATCTAACCAAGCTGTATACTATTGGCTGACTGACTTCCAAATTTTCTTTGTAATATGATCCCTAAAAACAAAAATAAAATAGGACTGTTCTGAAAAGGAAGTTGGACAAAACTATTCAGGAAATTCAGCAGATTAAGAGATAAGTTACAATATATTCTCTTCTAAATTCATTAAATTTCATGGCTTCAATATACAGGAAGATTTAATCCAAATCCCAACAAAACAAACAAATATCTAGAATTTATAATTTATTACATGCTTTTCAGTAGACAGTAAATTTATATTTTGATATTTTCTCAGGGAGTGATGGTCAAATAATTCTAAGTGGCTTAAACTAGTGTGCCAAAAAGGATCTTCTCTCATTCTCATTAAGGAAAAAAAAATGAAATATTCATCCATTTATGCTTTAAGTAACAATATATATATTTATCACCGTGTTCTAGCATAAATTAACAAAATAAAATAGTTTAGCACTACTGCTCATATCTATAGAGCATCAACCAAGGAAAAAGCTACCATTCACCAAACAAAAACATCTTAAAAATTATTTCTCGTATATGTGTTGCTTTTTTATGTACTCTGCTAAAAACACCTTCAAGATAACACAGAACGTAATAAGACTAAAGTATGTGTATATTTATAACAATGCAAATAAATTTCCTGAATTCTGATTGGCTTAGAACACTTTGTAAACTATATTGTATATACCACAAAGAACCGAAACACGCACAAATAGTAATGTATTTCTACATCATAGAAGGTTAACTACAATGTATAAGTATGCATACAATTTTTTATGGCGTTTTGTTTTTTATGATATTCTTCTTGATTCAAATGCCAAAATCAATAGTGTCAACGCAATGATGACTTCATTTGCTTAGACGTTCAATGTCTATTGTCATTTTCTTTAGGTGCGTCGATGAAAACAATCTTAAGTTGCTGTTTTTTACCTTGATAAACACCTGCATTGTTATAAATTTCACTTAGTCCATGATCCGTTACCATAACCATTTCCCCATCACAGTTTGATACACTGTATTGTCTAATACAACGCTTTGAGTATAAAAAATTTGGCAGACAAAGCAAAACATATCATGAGACTGAATGTGACAAACAGAGATTGTGTTGACTCTAGAACAGGGACAAACTTTGGGCACCTGACAATATGTACAATTTATGGGCTACACAATAAACTTTTAAAGTATAGAATGCATAGGCATTTGGTTTAAGGACAAAGTCCCTTTTAACTAATTGTAAGTAGTGTGACAACGATTATGTACATGTTTTTCTTTTAATGTAGTTGTTGTATAAGCATAAATTCTTTTTATCATTTATTATGTACTGTTATTTCTTTTTATGTAGTTTGATGTATATAATGTTTATAAAAGTTTATTATGTTTATTACAAGCATATTGTTCAACAAATACCCCTTAAGTGTAAGAATTAGTGATACCCCTTTTATGTTTCTTTTCAATGTAATTCTAAATTGATAAAAGGTTGTTAACACCTTATACGTAATTAAATTTGTTGTCCTGTAACATGTTGGTTCATTGCTGTCTGGATTAAGTTGCTATGGTCATCATGGAAACCAAGCTTAACAACCAAAGCATATATAAGGGTAACCCTAGGTTTCATTTTTATATATGCTTTGCTTGAAATAAAATTATTTTGTGGAACCAACTTTCGTTACAGGTAAGAAATTAATTTATTTTCATATTTATAATTTTTGTTATTTACTAAGATTACAAATATGTTGTACAATATTTTCTATCTTAATAAAGATTCTGTATAATGTTTTCAATATTAATAATGTTTTCAATATTACAATAGTTCTCTACAATGTTCTTATATATAGTGTTTCATGTATAAATATTTTATCTTAATGTATTAACAGAAAATCTCTTAAATAATTTTGATTTTATAGTTACAAAATTTATATAGATATTCCGTTCTATGTCCTCTCATTTGTAAGACATAAGCGAGTATAATTCCCAATATTAAATCTTTCTTATTATATTATTGTGATATTATATTACTGTGATGATTGTAAAAATTTGATATATGCTTTGCTTGAAATAAAATTATTTTGTGGAACCAACTTTCGTTACAGCGTTTTTACTAAGAAATTTACTGGAAGAAAATAAACAAGAGCAAACCAGAATCTTGAGTTTACAATAAGATAAGGTTCCAATAAAGACAGTGTCACAAAAAGTAAAAGGTTCCCCTCCCACGTCAAAACAAATCAGACGAGAATAACCCCTGTTACAGCAGTCAAATTTATCTGAATGTAATGATTTTTTATCGTAATTTAAAGTACCTTTTTTTTTAAATACCCGCTGTTTTTCACTTGTTTCTTACTAAACAATAGTAAATAAAAAGGTCTTTGCCCTGAAACCAAGTGCCTATGATAAAAAGCTGTACTTATAATTGTAAAGGTATTTCTTAAATAAAATGAAGTCACAGAATACCTTCCTATTTAAATTGACAGGAAACATTTTAGCTGTATTAAGCCAGTGTTTAGTTTAAAAGATCAAATTTATCATGGGATGTGCAATTTTGAACACAGCTAATTCTTTTGTATGTAATTTTTGTTTCATAAAATCATGAAATTTAACTCTTCTGGTAACAATCATGACAATGAGTTAGCATGTGAATAAGAAGAAATGTCTGAATGTATGAACATAAAGGCCAGTTGTGAACAAATTTTATACATTCTCTGTGATGGCCTCGAATCACAAGTTTGACAGTGTTTAATCTAATGCAACTTTCAACGTTAAAATATACAAATCATGCATTAAAAAAAAAGGACAAACATTCAGTTACATGCATTACCTGTTGACAATTCTTCCAAGAGGTGTTGTATCGAAGAATGCCATGGGAAGTTTAAGGATGTTGGCAAGCATGCCATTGTGTAGAATTCCAGCAGCTCTTATCATTGTTATAGCACAGATTATGGCATATATCAGTATCACAATTGCTGAAAATAGATATGTATCATATATCACATGTACAGCTTATATCAATGTAATACTCACTCACTCGCTCACAGAGAAAATTTTAAAAAAGTAAAAAATTACGCATACATGAAATTCTTGTCTAAAAAAGGCAGCCTCATAAATGTATTTTTGGTTTAATTTCAAATAACACTATCATAGTTAAATGCAGTATATAGTTGTAAACAGGGCATTGTCATTCATTTCGTGCACACAAAAATATATATGTTGAGTGTCATTTTTTAAGGAATTACCAAAATAAGTAAAAACATTGATGAAAATACAAAAAAATACTTACCTTGCCCAACACCAAGAGCAGCGTATATTCCCAAATATTTATAGTTCCTATTCTGATATTCTGTTGTATTCACATTGTCAGGATTTTTGAGATAGTCATCATCTGTCCATTGTGCCAGCCAGATACTTGAATATATTCCCCCACCTTGGTACAGGATGAACAGGGCAAATATGAATAATGTGGCTACTGCTCCGATAGCAGAGAAATATTTCATGTACACCCTCCAGGATACCTGTAACAGTCAAAGTAATTAAATTTTACTTCGTTATTTGTTAATTTTGTTTTGTGGGATGGGGCAGGGGGGGGGGGGGGGGAGGTTACGTCCCACCAACACAGTATAGATCATATGGCGACTTTCCAACTTTACTGGTGAAGGAATACCTTAGGTGCCCTTCCATGCAGTATTTCAAGCAAGAATAGGCACTTAAGTAGAACCATCAAAGTTCCGTAAGCTAGCTGGATAGCTCCCTCACATGAAAGAATCTAAAGTCCGCACTGTGATTCAAACTTGCAACATTGAGGGGCAAGTGGTTTAAGTCAAGGACCTTAACCACTCGGCCACCGACATCCTGGCAGCAAAACTTTTATTTTACATATATACAAAATATTTCATGTACACCCTACATAATGCCTAAAATATCGGCAGAGAAATATTTCATGGACAATGACTCAAAATAGAGAGGTGTGTGTATATTTACACAGAACAAAACTTACATTTCCAGTTTCTGATTTCTCAGCTTCAATAAGTTTATCAGCTTGTTTCTTAGACTTATCTTCTTTCCATTCAGCTTTAACCCCTTTGTCTAATGTTGATATTGTACGTTCTAGAGGAGGCTTCTTCTTTAATGTCTTCCCGCTGAAATATAAACATAAATATCCATATTATTATTTGATTTGTAGAAGAATTTATGTACAAAAATATTAACTGAGTAATCTATCCATTTATATAATATTATGACAAAAAAAACTTCTTTTTCAGACTTTTTCAGATATAAAATCACAGACACAATATCTTTGCATAATTTGTACATTTTTTATACATTCACATAAATATGATTAGGCTTTTACCTAATTTTTAAAACATTTATTTAAAGATGAACACAATTGCTTGGTTTCTTAAATACCAAAATAAAGGTGAACAAAGCTGCTTTTTTTTCCATTTATTTTTAATCTATATTCTAACACGAAGTTCATTTCCCTATTGAATATAGAAGGACCAGAAGTGTGTGTAAATATGCAATAAAATCCCTGTTGACATTCTATTTTTAGACATGTGACATAACCATTAAAATGCCACATGCTGAAAGTATAAAGTACAGAAAACAAGTCAGGCACAGTTTAGCTTAATATCAGGTATGGCAGCATTTATGTGTTGATGTCAAGTTAGAATCCAAATAATATATCCCAAGCACTGATTTTATTGCTTAGATAAAATTACTGTTTATCATTTGGATGGGCAACGTTATATAACTCCTCATATATACACCCTCATAATTCCTTGCATTCAAATTGAAAACAAGAACCAGTTGAACCAGTTCTATCCAATGAGATCTATCTACCTTAGCTCTTAGCAAGAACCAGAATCTAAGTCTCTCAGAGGGTGTTGCTCAGGAGAGGTTGTACTGTATTTTATTTGAAGATAAACTAAAATGTCACTCACCTAGGTTTAAGTCTAGTTACAACATCATCATCACCAGACACACCTGTCCCCTCTGTGCCGGATGTCACCGAATCAACTCTCTCCAATATTTTACTTTTTATCTCTTGAACTGAAATAAACCAGTATACCAGAATGTTTCAGTACAAAAACCATCAAAATCAAAGATAAAGAGCCTGATGGTAAAACTTTATTGAAGCTTCCAGTTTATTTTTAAGGTCAAATCACAATTGACCTTTACCTTCAATGTCCCTCTCAATGATTTATATCAGAATCATTGTTTGCTTTTAAATTCTAGAAAGTGTAGATTCCTCAAGAGTAATGAAATCATCTCGATGAACAAAATAATAATTCAAAAATCACAGACTAGTTTTTATTGAGTAAGTTCATGTGAAATAATGAGAAGTGCAACATCTTTTATACACAGTAGTAAAGACTTAAAGTGGTATCTTGTTTCTTTTTGTTGGGTTTCATATCACACCAACACAATATAGGTCATATGGCAACTTTCCAGCTATGGAGGAAGACCTCCTTATCTATTCTTAACAAGTTAAGAAACAGTTGTATACACAAATATGGCCTTGAAGGGCAACTATTTCAAATCATTTTCTGTTTTACCTTCAGGGTCATCATCGTCATCATCATTATCTTGGGTAAGGTATATTTTTAGGAACTGTGCAAACGCCCCATCATGTGACATCAACTCCTCGTACGACCCTAGCTCCGATACACGACCATCTACCATTACTACTATAGTGTCAACCATCGGTAGCCAGTGTACTCCATGAGTCACCAATACACGTGTCTATTAATTTAAAGAAACATGAAATGAATAACCTCATCAAAAAATAGTAAAAAGATAACTGTCTTTTTTTTTTTTTTTGATAATATCAGTAAAAATAGGCATGAATCTTTAAATCAACTTCAATAACACTGCTATACTAAGAAAGAATGTCTTGCATTCTAGAATAATTTACTTGACAATATGACTGCAAAAAAATTTATTATTTTCCGCTACAAAGTAGATTGTTTCAGATTTTTATTTCTAATGGGACATAAATCATCCCCCGGACGCCTCTGGGACAGTCACCTTTGGTAATTTCATGGATAGTCCGAGATGTTATGGCATGTATGAGTAATACTTTATTTCGAATACAAGTTTAACGCAGAACTATCATCACACAGGAGACTAAAATATATGTACAAAGGTCCATAACTCTGTTGTGATTATCAAAATGCTTTACAAACAATTTCATTTAACTGACCTTATTTCTTAGAAGACCTTTTGATCCAATGACCTTGTTAAAGATGTGTTTGCCGACATGGGAGTCAACGGCACTAAGTGGATCATCCAGTAGGTAAACGTCAGCATTGTTGTACACAGCACGGGCTAAACTAACACGCTGTTTCTGCCCACCAGATAAATTTATACCCTGCAACATTCAAATAAATAACGATATATTTTTAATACCAACTTTAATTTATTATACCATTATCATAAATCTAGGTCTTTGCATAAAATATTGAAATGATAAAACTTGTCAAGTTTCAACCAAGAAGAAACTGGAGAAAGGCAAACAAAACATACAATGTGACCATGAACTTTTGTTTAACCCTCAAAAACTGTTGAATTTTTTAATGGACTTGTACAGCTTTTATTTTTTGAACTGTTCATTATCATTTTTGGCGAAGAAGAAGATGAAAATGTAAATTCGCTCAGCAAACAGTTTAGAGTCTGGTTAGACTGCACAAATGTGCAAGCTGGCCCGACTCTTTACCAGTGACAAAGGCTTCTCACTTTTGGCTTAAACATATTTATTTCAGCTCCATTGCGAAACAAGTTCTTGCAACTTATATTAATCACTTTCTAGTCCGCTTCCTGGAACCAACCAGTACTGGTCTTATATAATGAAACATGGTCCTGACCCTTTTAGGGCCTTAACCCATGATCCACGGGTTGAGAGGCAGACATCTCAACCACTAAGCCTCCCCACCCCATAAGGCTACTCAATTTTGATTTTAGAATGGTTAGGGTAAAGAATCTCTTAAGTTCTTAAAATTTTCATTTTGAACTCTTTTCCTTGAGCAAGAAACTTTACATTCATTGCTTAGTACTGGTTGGTTCCGGGAACAGATTTGAGAGTGTTTCCATATGATTATAGCTTCCAACACAATCAAACTAAAATAAGTTTGTATAAACTATCAAAACTTTGTTACCTTTTCTCCTATCTCTGTAAGGTCACCACCTTGCAATATTTCAAGGTCAGGTCTGAGCGCACAGGCATCTATAACCTGCTCGTATTTGTTCTGGTCTACTTCCTTTCCAAATAATATGTTATCCCTTACAGTAGCATTCTGTATCCAGGCTTGTTGTGGGACATATGCTACAGAACCCTAGAAAAACAATAAATGAATACTTTCAATAAACACTCTTGTAATACCAGTATATAATGTGACAGATATGGATCACTCAATGGTAAATGTTCAAAAATATAGTTCAGACTACTATATACAATCTTTATAACTTCATACCATGTTCAAAGATATTCCAACTTCTGAGAACTTTTATAAATTGTTTGTTTTGTTTGTTTGTTTGTTTCATTTTACGCCTTTTTCCAACAGTATTTCAGTCATATAGGCGGGTAGTTTCCTAACCATCGTTCCTGGAGAGTTACTACAGTACTAGACTACCTTCCTCCGCGCTAAAACTTTTATAAATACCTTGCTAATAATCATAATCATATAGTATAAAGATCACAGTAAAAATGTAGGCTAAACTTTCCTATGTACAATGTAACAATAAAGAAAACATTAAAACCTTCATAAGTAACAAACTTAACAGATTACATAAAAGATTCAGTCTTTATATTAATCTTGTATATTACAAACAATACAATCTGGAAAAAGTTAGTTTTTCACATTTTCACTAATAAAAAGATTTTTTTAACGATAGTTTACAACAACCTCAATTGTTTACACTGATTCTCACTAAGAAGATCCATGCCAGTCAGAAAATGCTAAAAATTGATGTGTGTAAAATAACTTTATACCAGTGAAAATTCGTTTCTTTGATATATGTGAAATATGAATAAAAAATATTGAATGCATATCTTGTTTAGTTTTTTTATTACATTGCTCTATGTTTAATGGGTGTCGGCGTATTAAAAATTTACTATTATTTATCTATTTTTTAACTAATTCAGAAGTCATCTTATTTAACATTGTCTGTAACTATTGAACCACATATTTCGTATAAAAACAACTAAGGTAAAGGTTATCTTTCAATTAAAAACAATTATATTGTATATTTGATTATAAACATACCTTAACATAAGAATTACACGGAATGCTAATTTAAACATCATAATTTCTTTGTATTTTTCTTAATATTAAGTCAACATTATTTGTAGCTTTTATGCACGTCACATAGGACGTGGTATCATAAGCGTAATATCATTCTCAACATATCACCAATCAAATATTAACAATTTTATCAAGCCATTTGCAATGTATTATTTATTTCAATGTAAATAATGAAACTGGTAAATACGTAACGGAAATTTCAAATTTAACTTTTTATGACTTCTTTAAATACAAGGACAAAAACCAAATAATCGTGAACAATAACTAATTTTATGTACTGATTTACGTACAAACAAAAAACGGCGCATATCATGTAAACAATGTGAATATAAAAATAAAAATATGGGTCATTCGCTATGTTTGAAATTGACCATCTCAAAATTGTACAAATGACCTTTTAGAATATGAAATTTATTCATAGCAACATTTTTTATAAATATTGTTAACAACAGCTAATTATCTATAATTGTACTTTTCAAAACAAATAAATTTGTATTAGATACAAAGGATATCTTACTAATATTTAAAGTGAGTAACGGAAATTTACATGTAACGGAAATTTATGAAGCAGCAAAAATGATATTTGTCATTGTGATTTCATTAGCTGTACAAATGTATTAACTTGAAACTATTAACAAAACACTCTTTTTAATCTGTTAACTCAATGCAAATCTACCAGTTTGATATTCTAGTAAACATTCACAAGTTTTACTGCTTAAAGGACCTGAGTTTTATCATTGTTTCATCTGAAATTTAAACATTTGTGCACTCTTTCCAGTGGGATTCAGTGTATCTACTTTAAAAAGAACATCTGACTTTTAATCCACAAAATATCTTTGTTTCTTGGCCACTGGTAAAGGCTCTTCCTTTCCTCCATAAAGTCAATTTCAAACTCTGCTTCATCTTCATCTGCTATCTTTCCAATGAAGCATTTATTTTCATAAGCGGCAGCAACAAAGTCTCCAATAGTATACATGTAATTTAATTGATGTGTACCTACGTTTACATTTTTATCTTTATTTTGGAATTGGGTTTTGGTCATTGTTAGGATTGTTCATATTTGTCTCTTTCGTATTACTATTTTCATCCACCTCTGATTCTATTGGTTGCTTGCCCTCATTGTCATTTTTTTTGCATTTGTTTTCTTGTCTTCACCTTTGACAGTCGTGGTTGATTTCCAGCTGTTACAATTTACACCTTCAAGGCAATGGGCACAATAACAGCTAGTTTCCCTAGTTAAAATATTTGTATCTTGGCAGACAGTGGCATGAATCTTCATGGTCCCTGCGACAGGTTGCAGTTTAGTTTGGCTTAATTCTTTATCTTTTTGTTGACAAACTTTAGAATCAACGAAACGAAATGCCACATTTTTCATATTTGAGGAAAGAGCTCAATCATAAAAAATCTTTAGCATCCTGTATAATTGCTTTTCCTGATCTAATATATTCATCCGCAAGTCTCTTGCAGCTTCCACCTAACCCGTCGCAGGGCCCCTTTCCATGCCCGCTCTCCCCAATAATTCCATCTTGCCCATACTCCGAATTTTTTGCTTGTGATTTTCTATCAAGTTAAATATGTACCTGTTTCGATACTGGCTCGATGGAGAATCGCTCCAATAATGTAGTGTATGAAGGTCCTTGTCAATCTTCATCAACTCTGGCATTAAATCTTCAATGAATGCCACAACTGTTGCAGCCTTGTGCGATAATTCGTCTGATATTGTTACAAAACTTTTGTGAGTTAATTCACCGGATTCTGTTTTAAAGTAGACTACCATTGGATGTATTGTTACTGACGTTTGATTAAAATAAGCGCTCTGAACCTCTTCTAGGGATCGGCATGAGTAATTTTTCTGCAAAGTCAATTTGGATTATCATATGGTGTTCAGGTAAGTTTGATTTCAGAGTTCTCATTTGTTCATATTGATTTTTCATTCTGTCTATGTGCTCTCGAAATTCTTTCATTTGTGTTTCAGCATGCTTAATATATTTATCTTTCTCCATATTGACTTCTACAATTCTAGTTACAGACTTTTTCTTGCCTCTGTCCTCGACTTCTACTCTTTCCCACTGGCTGACAGACACCATGTCATCTAAATCCTTCATCATTGTTTCAGCACTTGGCATGTTCTCAACAGCTTTCTCGGGATTGGCTGCAACATTCATTCCTGCTTTTTTCAAAACTTTCAATGTGAGTGCAGCATTTTTGATGCTTCGTGCACAAGCATGACAGTCTGCTAGTAAATGCAGTTTTTAGAATGTAGTCTGGTCGACATCTACAAAAAGATGCAAATGAAAGGGAAGACCCAAAATTTTCAGTCTTGTATTTCATATATAGATTTCCTAAATAATCGGTTAAAACATGACTTTGTACTTTACACCCTTTTTAAGTCGTTTTGCGTCGTTTTTTCCGGGCAAAGTACGGCTGTTATCTTCACACTTTAAGAAATCTACGACTTTCTTACTTTGCTGCTTAACCTTTGTTCTTCTTATGGCTTTTTCAACTAGGTACTTTTTGTTTTCACTTTTACCAAGCTTGTGTCGGCACATCCAGTTTTATCAGCAAGTGCTTTTATGCATTTGTACTTTTTTATTATTCTGCCCGATACTATACAGCTGTCATTTTCCCCTTTGGTGTTTGTTTTCTTGATTCAGCGATTTCTCTCATTAGTGCATTTCCTGTGAGAAGTGTCTTCCTCAACTTGGTTTTCTGTTCTTCGCTTAGATTTGCCTCTTTCATTATTTGTTCAGTTTGCTTGCTTGGTGTCAGTTCTTTTTCTTTGCTTTTGTTGAGTTTCTGCTTCATTCTTTGCATGTTTCTTTGAGTGGTCTTGACTTTCGTTAATAGTTTCTTTCTTTCTTGTTCTAATAATCTTATTCTAGAAAAAGCATCGGACATGTCACGTTTCCATCTTTTGATTGCTCCTTTCCTTTTACCTTCACTACGATTTCCAAAGTCAAGTCTCACCCTTAATCTGCCTCTGTCAGAGGAAGGTCCTGGTTCATTGTTTTCATTTGCACTTTCAAAGCTGCCGATACTGTTCTGAGAAATCTTCCTTGACCGTTGCTGTCGTTTCCTTTCATAGAACTTACGCAAGTTATTTCGGTTTCTCTGGCGACGTTTCTTTTTATCATTTTTCAGATAAACTCTGCAGTTGGAACATAACTTCTGTTCTTTCTGTCTCTTTCTTGTCTTAAATATTCATCTTTATTCTTTTGCTTTTGCCTTTCTCTGTACGCACGTTGAATTTCGGCTCTGCTTTTGGCCATAACTTTGCCTAAAATAAGAAAAAAACATAAAACAGTAAATAAAATTTCCGTTACATTTTTTTTAAAAAATTTCCGTTACCAAGTTTTTTTCTTTCCATTTTTTAACTCGTTGATTAATTTATACTTGATTAAAATGTTTTTAATAAATGTTTAAGTAGATAAAAAACTAAGAAGTGAAAAAACATGCATTCTTGTTAAAAAAAACAACATTTTCACTGAAATAATGGGATCGTTTTCAACATGAAATTTACAAGACAGCGTAAAATACGTATTTTTTTGTTAAATATATTTGAATTTTTATTTTTTGAATTACCAGTATGTTCCATCCAAAAGACATACTTGCGTTTAGAATATGTTTTAACGAGAAAGAAAACAAATTAGTTATGCGTTAAATGCTCCAAATCTTCATAATGTTTATAAAATTTCCGATACAAAAACATCACGGAAATTTTGTCACACTGACAAGGTCATTCTCAAAAAATTTACAGAAATTTTCCAGCTTTTACATTTATAGAGTAAAACTGTAGCTCTATCAATGTGTGCTTGCTGAAGAAAAGTCAAAGACATATATAGTTATCTTCTTTTAATATCAGAATGAAAAAACACACTTACCTTTATCTTCTAAAAATCCAAGATATATCGATCTTTATTTAATAATTTTGTTTTTCTTAGTCCTTGGAACAAATGTGTGTATACAACGTCATCGATGACAGTCATAAATATTCGTAAAATACCTGCCGCGCGTGTTTAAAATTCATGGTACGCATTTCATTTAATTCCGATAACGGATATTTTAATTACGGAAATTTTTATTCGCAATATTTTAAAACATTTCACTCACAAAAGGCAATGGACATTGGTCTAATTTTTTTTTTGGCTTCATATCCAATCATATCTCACAAAATAAAATACAAAAGCTGTGTATGTAACACCTTTAAATGATTCTTTCATCATAACGGAAATTTTATTAATTTACTTTAAAAATTAAACTACGTTCTAAAATTGTGTTTGGCTGACGTAATCTTTAAAAATGGCAAACGCTTTATATAACAGCGCATAATAACATAGTTGTTCAGTATTTTAACATGTTTTTCCGATGAGTAGTTCTTTATTCCTCTTGTTTAAGCCTGGTTAGCATTTACAAGTAACGGCAATTTTATGAACTGTCAAATCATGGCGACGTTCAACTGCTTGCACAGATAATTATTGTAGACATATACAGACAGGTTTTACGATGTTTACTTTATTTAACAAGTTATAGTGACCGTTCTAAGAATGTTAGCGCTCGGAAATATAGAAAAAAATGGTCTCTACTCGGCGCTAAATATTGTAAATGCTATTCGGCGACAGTAACGGAAATTAGAAAAATCGACATTCAAATATAGTTTTCAAAGTAGTTTTTGGTAATTTTTCAGAAAGTGTTTAAAACATACACTGAGATTGGCATGATAAACATTTTGTCCTACAACAGAATATTCTTGCAGTCATTTAGACTGAGATTATTTGACTTACAATAACATGGATTTACTTAGTGAGAATCAGTGTGAATTTTTTACTATAATACATGACTGTATCGGCATACCTTGACTTTAACTCTGCCTTCATTTTTCTCCATTTCTCCAAGTAGAGCTGAGATGAGAGATGATTTACCACAACCAACTTGACCAACTACTGCTACAAGTTTACCATCACCTATCTCCAGATCTATACTGTAAATATATACAAATATATACAGCCACATTTTGTTTGATCAAGTTCTAAGTCAAATTATGTCACACTGTTTAGTGTTATTTTAGAACTTTCTAGCTTTCACCCCTGGATGTTTCCTTGTACATTATTCCAGGATGTAAAAAGTTACCCTGCCCAATTGTAGGCTGGCTTGATAGGTTCCTCATACATTAAAATTCATTGTCTCTGGTAGAATTTGAACGAAAAACAGTCAATGAACAATCCCTTTAATATTAAGTAAATAATATGTATACATGTATATAAACCATTACATTATCTTGTTAGAACATATACTTAATAGTTTAAAATAGAGGGGAAATGTCAAATAGTAAAATAAAAACTTACTTTTCCAGAGTAGGTTTGTCATGTTTGCCCCATGCAAATGTTCCTCTCTCAATAGACAATGCATGATCTGAAACGAAATTTTCCTTCTTTATTCAACAACTTCACAAGTTTGTCTTCCTCATGTTTGAAAAACAATTTTATTTTCAAAATAATCAGGAAAGGATTTTTCCTGAAATTTTCATAATGTAACTGACAATCAAATACAATGTACATATGTAGTTATTTTTAGTTTAGATTCATCAGTTTCTTGACAGTCATTTTGCAATTTTCTCCAAATGTATTGATATTTGCCCTAAAGTTATAGAGAAAAGCAAACCAAAAAACTTTGCTACATTTGTAAAATAACATATAAACATCCAGTCTTGGATCACATATAAAACTGTAAAGTAGTTAAAGTACAGTATTGCATATTGAACAGTGTGAATATTCTGATAATTACCAGCAATTTCAGTATGTGTAACATTGTCTGGATCAAGATCATCTGATTGTAGGAATTTACATATGCGGCCCAGAGACACGTTACCCTGAAATACAATCATTTTATAAATAAGAGAACAGAAATACATGTACATGTAATAGAATAGAAAACTTTGGGCATTAGATTATATACAATAACTCATCCTTTATTGTCTTGTACTAAATTCTGATTGTTAAAGGTTAAAAATTATTGAATACCGAATATTGTGAAAAATAACGTTCCTGAAATGACTGATTTTTTACGGTATAGGCCGATGTTAGAAATTTTTTTGGCGGGAAAGCATTACAGTATGACTATTTTAAGAGCAAGATACAACAGCACCTAAGTGCCGTCTGATCATGGTCTGCATTGGAAGTATAGGTATTAATCAGTTGCGGCCAGTAGGTTAAGGGTTAAAATGTAAAATTACCTGTACAACATAGGAGATGATCATTGGTAGAAGATTGATTGGGAACCGCAGAATGTTGAATAGAGACAGGGAAACGAATGCTTTCTGTGCATCCAAATAGTTGGTGTTGTCTACCAGAATGTACGTCGCAAATGTCGCCAGGGTCACCTAAATTAATATAATACATACAGCTTAATTTACTTAAAGATTTGGTAGAATAATTATCATTACAACACCATACTTGTTACATTTTAGTTAACACAATTCTGGAGCACAATTTATGAAAATATGATATGGTACCATACTTATTAAAGAATTCAAATATCTTCAATGAAGTAAGAAATTAGAATTCCTTCATATATGTTTGATTTAAAGTCAGGATTACTTTGTTAAGGTCTTATGATGATGTTGCAGCTTTAAAATGGCGGGAAACGATGCTGTACTCCCTCCCTGCGCCATTTCAGGCACTACAATAAGGCAGCTGGGTGAAACCATTGACTTTAGCAACCTAATAATTTTCTCACATAAAAGAATTCAATGTTACAAGTGAGCATCCAACACCCAGCAGTAAGGGCAAAAGTGATTTCAATCAGCCTCCACATTAACCAATAACTAATGGCTGCGAAAGCTCCACAATAAACATAATCATAGCATAATTATTATTTCTCCATTCAGACCCTCAAACTATTGGCAGCTGGAATTATGCTCCCCATTTTGTCAAGAAAGACATTTGCCGTTCTTCTGTTGCCGTTCAGAAGTTTGCAATCAATTGCAAACTTCTGCAAAAACATATGCAGGGGCAAATTTCTGCTACATCAAATGAAGGAAGCAAATGTTTAGGGTACAAAATGTTCTAAGGGACAAATGTCCTATATTCATTTCTAACACTTTGAGAAGATACATTACATACCAAGAAAGGTGCCGATGTCCAGAAGAATGTACTGACAGCATTCAGATAACTCGCCTTTCTTATCACAGCCAGCTCTTTGTTACGAATATCTCGAACTTTTTGTTCAAAAGATGGCTCCCAAGCATATAACTTTAGAACCTGTAAAAACCAGACATCCTTTGTAAAGTATTTTTTTTATATATAAATTTCAGCCAATTCCAAAACAAGAGGATTGTTTTGATTGTTGATTGGTAACAGTCATTACATATTAATTAAAACTAACAAAATTTTACCAAGACATGTAGTATGAGTTCATTTGTAGATTTTTCAAAACTAATTTTGAAACACATTGTAATTATCTACCTTTATCCAACATGCAAAGCCTGGAAAAAGATCAAATTACAATAAGGCCTACAAAAGCATAGATAATCTTGGCACAGAGCATTTGTAGTGTATTTCTGGGAAATTTTAAGTTTAATTCCCACAAATTTTAAATTAAATATTACAAATATTCTAAGTACATGTATATCTATTGTAATTCATATGATATTTATCTTTTGCAAACAACCAAACATATACTACCTATTTTCAAATTTAAACATACAAAATATACAACAATATATTGCAAATAAATAAGAAGTTATTAATTTTGACACCTAATCAAAAATTAGTTTTCATTTTTATGAGTGAAAGGGGTGAAAAAAATGTGTAAAATTTCTTAAATGTGATACTTTATTTTGTTTGTTTGGATTTTTAACTTGCCTTATCATGCCAAATGTGATACTTTAAAATAGACTTATGTTATTTAATGGTTTGATAGCAGTTTAAGAATTATTTTGTACCTTAATTCCATTGAGCACTTCATTCATCAATTTGATTCTTTGATCTTTAAATCTCATCTGTGTAATCTGGTATTTTCTCTGTTTCATTGCGATTACAGCATTAACCGGCATAAGTAGTACCATTATACCCAGGCCCGCTAGCACGGATGGTCCAAGCGTGTTCCACAGTAGCACCATGGCCAGTATGACCTGCACAGGGGCTGACCACAACATCCAGAGATAACCTGACAAAACAATAATAAATAAGGAAATCTACCAAAATGTTATACTGTGTATTATACTGACACTCTTAACCAGCTAGAAATGAAATTCTAATGATTAGCCTTTACCAGGTCAGCCTGTACATCAATGCATTCCTACTCTTTACTGTAAGTAACTCAATTTTTGTCCTTTTTTATGCTGAAACCCCTAAAACTGAAAATGTACTGTTCCAAATTCAGTCAAAATTATAGTTCTTTAATACTGAAACCCCTAAATATTACAATGAAGCGGTATAAAATCAAATTTGGATAAGTTTGTAATACAAAATTATATAGTGATATCAGGGAGAACATACCTGTTATATCCTGTATTCTCTGACAATCTACAGACATCAGGTTGACAATTTCTCCAACTGTTGATGACTTCTTTGCCTCGCTGTTCATAGTCAAAGCCTAAAATATATTTAAGATAATACATGTATTATTAAAATGTCATAAATGTTCCTTGTGCAGTGTTAAAAAAATATTTAAGAAATAACAACAAACTTCATAATTACAATTATTTCTGTAGTGCTTCCAATGCTTATAAGTAAATTATATTAAACACATGCATGACATTACGTTATTTGATATTCAACACAGAATTGTTTTTTTTCAACAGAAAACAAAGGCTGAAGGCCGCTTTAAAACAACAGGCATGAGAAAATTGAGCATACCTTGCTGTAGACGGCAGAGATTAGCGCAGATTTCATTCTCATACCAGCAGTCATACTGATGTGAAAATTCTGATGGAAAAATACTGATTGTGTGGCGGCCACAATGAATAAACCAGCAGCATAAACGTAACCCCTCCATTCATACACAATACCCTCAGATTCCTTCGACTCCACATAGCCAATTAGAAGACTAATATGATAAAATAAACATAATGAATCAATATAAAAACACATAAAGCATGAAAGAATGACTTAAAACTTTTTAGAACTTTTATCTCTAACTCAAATTAAATTCTTAATCAATCAAACTCTTGGGATTTATACACTTGTTATGAGTTTTGCGTGGAACAGTTTATTTATTATACAGGATTTTAATGCCAAAAGCTACAGCAAAAAGTATGGTCAAACTATATGGTTGCTCTTTAGAAAATGATAAAGCTGACCAAGATCAGCCTGCACATCTTTGACATCTGATCAAAGTCTGCACTGCTCACTACTCAGTCAGTAGATAGTTTGAAATTTTCCTTAAAAAATGATGAAAAGTTATAAACTGTTTAAAAGATAGACAAGTCCATTTAAGATGTCACAGATGTGCAGGCTGATCTTGATTAATTTAATACAAATGTACTTACTTTAGTATCATAGGGTTGACAAACTGTAGTAAGTCATATATAAATTTACACATCCAACCAATCATGATCTGACCACCGAAACATTTCACAAGAACTTTAAAGAGTGATGGCCCTTTGGTCTTCTTCTTCTCATCCTTATCTTCCTTCCCTTCACCATTATATTTTTTCTTGCCACCTGCATTAATCAATGGTGTCCTTTCTGAATCTCGCATGAAGCTTGTTTCCTGAAGATGTGCTTTTCTTGCCCTGAAATTTTTATATATTATAATATTATTTTTAATTAAGAATTGGATCAAACACAAATTCTAATTAACGAGACTACCCCTGAATAAAGTTCACATACCATACAACCATTATTGCATGTACTTCCTTTTTAATTATTCAAAGAACAAACAAAAATTGCTTTGTATTTCCATGTGTTTGTAGTATGTGTAATAGTTCTCAGACTGAACATGTGTTTCAATCAAAGAATTAAGCTTCTGCGATCCTTGTTTACTTACTTTTTTATTTAGTTATTGTGTCAGTGAAATATATAAACATGGTAAATGGGTGCTTGTGACTGGTCAAAATGCATGCTCTATGTGATTTGGATATTTAATTGTAACAACTGAGTGTAGATTTAAAGTCTGTTCAAAGCCTTATTTTCTATGTCTTAACATTACTAAGCAGCCCTTCTGGCAATCACTCTTACAACTATTCCATATGAGCTATTACAGGTAACTAATTTATTTTTTCAATAAATGTGAAAAGCAACTTCTCTAACAAACATTATTGAAATTAGCCAAAAACCTATTCCTAGTTTGGAACTGAATGTTATAGAGCAGAAAAAACTTTGAATTTCTGGAATTTGTGCATCAACCTAAAAAAAAAAAAAAAAAAAAAAAAAAAAAAAAAAAAAAAAAAAAAAAAAAAAAAAAAAAAAAAAAAAACCATCAACCTAAACAAATCCTTCTAGACGAGAGGTAAGCTCCAGATAGTGATTTTAATAAGTTACTAATATGTTCATAGGCTGACGGCTCTGATTTTAAATATTGATAAACATAACATAGTATGATCTGTTAACAATATACAATATGTGATATTTGCCAGAAAGGAATTTTGAGACAAACAGTAAAAATAATATAAGGTCGTGACAGGAATTTTAACTTTTAAAATTTGAATTTATAACTTCATGATGATCATTGGAAGCATCCTTACAAAACAAGTTTCAACTAGAAATGTGTCCATAGGACACGGATGCCCCAACACGCCACTGTTCTGTCAATCTTATGACTCTAGGTCAAATATTTTTTGGACTACATGTGCCACAAGTTGAAAACTAAAAATCAACAAAGGGCCATAATTCTGTTAAATTTGGTCGCAGCAAAAATTCCTTCCTTTACTACCATCTACACATTAAGGTTGTTAATCCCTGGAAGTTTAAGCAAAATCTGCCATCTGGTTGAAGAGGAGTTGCGTTCACAAAATTTCTACATAGTATATAATGAAAAAATCAACAAAGGGCCATAATTCTGTTAAATTTGGTTGCAGCAAAAATTCCTTCCTTTACTGCCTTCTACACATTAAGGTTGTTCATCCATGGAAGTTTAAGCAAAATCTGCCATCCGGTTTAAGAGGAGTTGCATTCACAAAATTTCTACATAGTATATAGTGAAAAAAATCAACAAAGGGCCATAATTCTGTAAAATTTGGTCGCAGTGAAAATTCCTTCCTTTACTACCATCTACACCTTAAGGTTGTTCATCCCTGTAAGTTTAAGCAAAATCTGCCATCCGGTTTAAGAGGAGTTGCGTTCACAAAAATTTCTACATAGTAATTATAGTGAAAAAATCAACAAAGGGCCATAATTCTGTTAAATTTGGTTGCAGCAAAAATTCCTTCCTTAACAACCATCTACACATTAAGGTTGTTAATCCCTGTAAGTTTAAGCAAAATCTGCCATCCGGTTTAAGAGGAGTTGCGTTCACAAAATTTCTACATAGTATCTAGTGAAAAAATCAACAAAGGGCCATAATTCTGTTAAATTTGATCGCAGCAAAAATTCCTTCCTTTACTACCATCTACACATTAAGGTTGTTCATCCCTGTAAGTTTAAGCAAAATCTGCCATCCGGTTTAAGAGGAGTTGCGTTCACAAGATTTTGGGACGTACGGACGGACGGACTGACGGACGGACAGACTGACGTATTGACAGACGGACGGACAAGTGCAACGCTATATGCTCCCACATTGTGGGGGCATAAAAAATTCTTGAGGACTTAAAATGGTGTATGTACATGAGTGAGAATGGGGGACAAAAAGTGTGTGGGGTTGGGGGGCAAGTGATTCAAATTGAAACTAAAAGTGTAACATTATTTATTTGTGGTGATTATAAACCAACAATGATGGGAATTCTTTTTTTAATTGCCATGGAAGGGTTAAAATGCTGAATAACACTTCAGTGTTTAAAAGAAGTAATTCCTATACAATACCAGCCCTTTGGAACTTCCCTGGAAACAAATAAATGAAAATACACATTCCAAACTTATAGAGATAAATTAATATTATCACACTTGTCTTTTAGCTTTTTTGGTCATCAAAAATATAAATATATTTTTCATCATTTACTTAACATGTAATGACATGGAAGTAGAAAGCAGTCCAATCATTTTTGTGCCATATTGTCACTTGTTTTCATAATTTCTTTTACTATTTATTTCATGAATGAAATTATAACATAATTAACCATACAAACATTTGAAAAAAAGGAGATAAAACTAGAAATGTGTCCATAGGACACGGGTGACCCCCACTCAATCGATTTGTCAATCGTATATCTCTAGGTCAAATTTTTTTTTTTGGCTACATGTGCCCAAGTTGAAAACTAAAAATCTTTTATAAACTAAAGGACAAATACTACAAATACAAATTCATAAGTTCACATGCTGACCAACATTTTTGTAAACTTTCAGGCCTACAGGTCAAATACTTTTTGAGTTACGTGCAACACAAATTGAATATTGTAAATTTTTACTAAGTCAAGGGCAATAACTCTAAAAAATACTAAATATATCCACATGAAAATACCCAGGTGCACAACTTCACATGCTGATCAACATTCCTGTAAGGTTTCATGACTCTAGGTAAATTACTTTTTGAGCTACTTGCGACACAAAAAGAGGACTGACGGACGGACAGATGGATGGATGGACGGACAAGGGTAAATCTAAATGCGCCCCCCATAGTGCGGCACAAAAAATGTCAGTCATCCTGAAATTACTCTTGGTTGCCAGGCAATGATTACTTTACAAAGATTTCTGATAAAGGGAAGTAACTGGGGCAAAGAATTTTATTTCAAGGCAAATGTTGGTAGACCTTAGCCTTCTTTTACAATTGCTTGATGATGTAGAATTTTCTTTACAGCCTCTACTCTTTACATAAGATATATATCAACATACCTGTATATTGTAAATATTACAATTTTAATACTTTACCACAAGATTACACTTCTTATCTGGGTTACTTTCAACAAGGTTATCAGTGTGACAAGGCTTTGTGAGATTATAAAATTTGTGTTACAAAATTGACATGATCTTCATATCATTTGAGCCGCGTCTAGACAAAACCAACATAATGTGTTTGCGACCAGCATGGATCCAGACCAGCCGGCACATCTGCGCAGTCTGATCATTATCCATGCTGTTCGCTTACAGACCCTATAACAAGTAAAGAAACTGATAACGAACAGCATGGATCCTGATCAGACTGCGCGTATGCCTAGGCTGGTCTGGATCCATGCTGTCCACATCAACCAAAGTTTTTGCCCATCAAAGGTGGTTTCTCTGCAGAGGTTGTACATATCACATTATCAGATTCAAATGAACTCTAATTCTGAGACTAGCATTGTCTGTATATTACGATGGCAGATGAGCATGACAAACGAAATTGTACCACACCATAAACAAAACTAACAAATGGGTAGCAATGGCATATTGGTTAAGGTATTTGCCTCAATCTTGTATCACTTGGCTTGAAGTTTTATGTGACCTTCTTTGTAAACATCTTATCTTATGAACCACTAAAAATATTTGCTTGTAACTTCATACATGTCTTTGAGCAAATATTAAGATGTCACTTTCCAAGGCTCATAATGCTAGCATGGATTTTAATAAAATTATGGCCTTTTGTGAATCGATTTAAGTTTTATATGCAATTGCAAATAATTCTCAAAACTACTAACCAACTATATCATATATTCTTAATGAAATCTTCCTCTTTCTTAAATCTTACATTATCCAATCTAATTACTCACCTGGACTAAAACATTAATTTATAACAAACTAATGGAATATGAAACATTTTATAATGAAACACTCAAAATTCAAGACAGGTCTAAATTTGCAGCCCCCATAAAACAGAATGCAGGTTTATGAGTTACATGTTTTAAGTCATAATCTCAAAGTACTTTATAAAGCATTCTTTTGGTAGCATGCAAAATGCATTGGAATAGGTACATGTTCGTAAGTATCATGATGGATTCACATTATTTTTTAAAAACTTTATGAAAATTTTCTTATATGAAAATGCATCATAACCTGGAATATAAATATGAATGTATGAGAGATGATCAGGCAATCACATGATGGCAATCACTAGCAATGACAAATTATACTCTACCCTTTGTGTTGAATTATAGCTCTGAAATAAATATACATATATGCATAACAGTGTTTTCTTAGCTGTAACAGATTTTACTAATTCATTATATAACTTAGTTTTAAAAATAACCTTGCTCAAATTTCAGATGTCTTTCTGAATGATCTACACACCCAATGATTGCTGGGAAAGAATTGATTATGCCATCAGTCTAAAGTCAGGCTTGCCTGAACGTCTATTTATTCTGAACAGGTCAACCAATGATTGCTGGGAATGAACTGTTTATGCCATTAATTTTAATCCGGGCCTACTTGAATGATTGCTTTTTCTAAACAGGCTTAATAATTCTAGGCCACTCAATCTTATTATTATGATATTACTATCTACCAATTAACAATGAACAATTCTGAACTCAAAACATTGAAGGTATTTCAACGATTGGAATCAACAATCTTTTACAGGTATCAAATGGGTTCTTTTTCTTTAACCCTTAGCGGGCTGGTGGGGACTAAAATTGCCAATGTGACCCTTGCAGAACAAGATCAGTCAGAACATCTGTGCAGTCTGATCATGGTCGGCACTGTTTGCTATTTGGTCAGTTAATATTTTGAAATTTTCCTTAAAAATAATTGATAACTTTATTCAGATTTAAATGTTCACAAGTCTAAATCAATAAATTCAGTGTGTATAGGTTAGAAATTCATGCAATTTATGCAATTTTACTTGCATAATCATTATTAACATATTCAGTGTGGATTGGGTTAAACATTTCATGCAATTTATGCAGTTTTACTTGCATGATCAGGAATATAAATATGGAACATTGTGTGAGTGATGGGAGGAATGGGCAATGACAAATTAATACTCTACCCATTCTGTAGAATAACATCACTGAAATAAAGACATAACAATTCTAGCTCCAATTGATTTCTTAAAATAACTCATTTTTAAAATACCATTGCTCAGAGAGAGAGTTTCACAAAGCAAATACTTCATGTTCCTTGAAATTCCTTCATGTTCCAAAATGTTCCTTTCATGTTCCCTTCATACTCCTTAATATTCATCACTGTACATTGTATCTAAATTTCCCTACATGTTCTTTTATGTTCTTAAATTTTCCTAAATGTTCATTTATGTTCAAAAATATTCTTTCATGTTCTTAAATCATGTTCCTAAATATTCTTTCATTTTCCAAATGTTCCTAAATGTTTCTTAAAATATTATAGCAAAATAGGACATTCAAGGTCATTACACAAATTTAGCAGTAGTAAGTGTTAAAACATTGTATCATAGTACATCTAGATATAAATCTGCAGTAGGGAACTCATATCATTTTCATCATCACTTTCTTTTCACAAATACATGTACACTGTACAGTATTTTCAGTTAAAGTCCTGGATGTTAGTTTTTCTGAAAAATAATGACATAGAAATAAAGCAATATATAATTTATATACTCACTCTTCCTGTCTGAACTTCCGAAGTTCATCTTGCCAGGCTTTCTGCACCTTAGGTATAAATGTTTCTGACTGGTCACGTGGGTGAAGATCCCATAATTCACCGTCTTTTATTCCAGATTTATAAATCTTAACCACTAATCTGGAAAAGTAAATTACAAAATGAATTATGTTAACCAAAAAGATTAACATTTCTTAAAAAAAAAATAATGAAACATTCCAAATTACAAAGCAAAAAAAGTCTGTTACATAAAATCATACAGTCAGAATTAAAGCTACCTAGAATGAAAATCCCTACAATGCACATCAGACAAATTGAAATTCAAAGGAAATGTCTATGACAAAAATATTGCCGAAAATTCAAAACTGTCAGCTACTTAGATTTAATATCTTGACATCCCTAAAATTAACAAAGGACAGTTCCAAATTTCAAAGTTAGACAGGTTTATTGCATGAAATCAAGGGGTGGAGGTTTGAAATACATACTTTGTTATCCACCAGAAAGACAGCTTAGATGGAAATGAAGCCTTCAACTCTGGGCACTCTTCCTATAATAGAATAGAAGTTAAAATATTTTATAATTCTACAATATTATAATATTCCCAACCTTAGACTAAAATTTGTTGTTTTTCAAGTGTAAATAAATATGTCTATAAATAAAACAAAGTAATGGCAATTTTAGCTAAATTTGATAATTTGACCTTGAAGGTCAAGGTCCTTATAAGTCAAGGTCACAGGGCATAATTATTTAACTGCATAGTAGCATCCACATGACATGTAAACCAAGGGTGGTTTTAATTGTATATATATATTTATTTTATACAAACACACAACAACTGTGTTAAAAACAAGCTCTAGACTCATGTGGTTGCAACAATAATTACTCATCAGCTCACACACTCATATAGTCTCACAGGGCTACATACTATTGGCTAGTCACTTTTATTAGTTTGATATCGAAATAAATTCACCATGGACACTTCCAGGGTCAAGGCAGGACAAGTCAATTATACAAACTCTTCAAGCTAAAAGTTCAAATTATTTTCTCTTGACATAATAAATATGTGAGCAGCAGCATGCTTTTGTTTGCTTCTAATTTGTTTTTGTATGCCAATTTTTACACATCTTTTTTTTGGTCATTTCTCAGTGGTCAGTTCACCTAACTAGCTTTGCTTGATAACTAACAGTCCTTGCCAATTTCTCCACAAGTGACCCATTTCTAATCCTACATGATTTCTGAATAAGCCGTGAGAGACAAATGACCATTCGACTCAATGTCCAAGATCAATTGTCAGGGAGAATTTTTGGTTTAGTCAGGAGATTGAACCAGGGACCTCTGGATTACAAATATGACGCTCTCCCAATTGTGCTAAGCAGGCAGACTAAGCAGCATGTAAAATAGAAGTCAGACCAACAAAAAGGAAAGAAACAAAAAACCCTATATGCACTCACCCTCCCGAGTGCTTGGTAGCCACGTCTCTGTTGTTTTTCAACAAAACTTGTAAGGACCAGTTCAATAAGAACGAGTGCAAAATACAAACAGTACATGGTGAACTGGAACTTTCGCCCGTCATACTCCTGAAAAAAAATGACAAAGTAACAAATGTATAATTTAGTTTAATACTTTTGCTTGCTTGAGAAGAAAGTTACTTCTGTTAAAGCTGCATGCCTCCATATTTCAAGAAAATCAAACTTAAGAAAAATTGTACTAAGATTTTAAGAAAAGTAAAAAGATTCAAGTTTCAAGTAATCATTTACATGTTTTATGCGATTCATGACTTATTTTGCGTGACTAACGTAGTAAGGACTATTTTAGCATATTTTGACAACTTTTTAGTATTTTATATGTATTGTAAGTGCTTTTGGTAATGTGTAAATTACTATTCTGGTTCCCGTCACAATATCTAAACAGGATATTGTGTTCACAGATATATTCCATAGCATATGTTCTATAGTAATTAAGTGATTAAGTGATTCCTGGTCAAGGATGTTAACCAATCAGCCAGTGAGTACAGTGTTACTTTCACCGAGTGGTCCTGTGGTGAATTAAAGTTCATTTGGGAAACAAGTTCTTGCAACTTATATTAATCACTTTCGAGTCCCCTTCCTGGAACCAACCAGTACTGGTGTCATATGAAGAAATGAAAGATCCTTTGTCCTAACGGCTACACTATCAATTTTTCCCCTTGGTAAATACGCGATAACGAGTAATACACGTCAACACCAGGGCAAGTTAACAATATTTTATTTGGGTCTACTAGTTTCGGTCATTTATATGATCTTCATCAGGACAATTTCAATCAAAATTTTGTCTGTTAAAGTGCTAAAAAAACGGTTATGTTATATGATGTTTGTTACTAATCATAAGAATCTTGTCACTACAAATAGAATCATTTGGCAACATGCCAATGAATTATTTAAATGGTGGTCTGTTTTAAAAGTAGAGTTCTTAATTGTTCATGATTTTTTCCCTTAGTAAAACTTCACAAAAAAGTTAACCTTTCTAGAACAACACCTCCCAATAACAACCAAAATTATTGTCTCCTAAAATGATGTTGATATGCAGATGTTGTACAGTATGCCACATGTTAAAACAAAGCAATTGTTCCCATAACAAGTTAACCTTTTACCCCATGAGCTTATAGTGAAAAATGGCCGTTTTCATTGAATAACAATTTCAAACTGCTATGAAACTATGAAAAATGCTTCAATACTGACGAAACTTGGCACAAATGTTAACTAGACCAAAAAGTGGTCACTTTTTTTTTTAACATTTCTCAAACGAAAAACAGTGTTTTAGGCCTATATAGGGCATTTTTTCACTGTTTGAGGCCTCAAAAAAGGGGGGGGGGCTAAAAGTCGTCAAAACACGTCTATATGAGGGAAAAGGTTAAAGCTGTCTGGAACATTATCAACACTATAATAATTGATGTATCTATTTTAACACTGCACAAATGTAAAATAAAACAGAAATAAAACAAACCTTTTCTTCTATTTTTGTGTAAAATGGGATGATGGAAGCCACTGATGTAAGAAGCCAGAACACAAACATTATCCCCGATGTTATTACCCCTTTTCTACGCTCTAGCTGTACTATTAATGCCACAAGTAACTGTAATGAAAACATACTATATGTATAAATGTTAAAGATGTCACCATGACCTGGTAAGACATGGAATTCATCAAGTTTATTTTCAAGCTTATATTCCATTAATTTCTTTTTCTTTTTTTTCTTTTCTTTTTTTTTCTTTCTTTTTTTAGGGGCGGGGGATTTAAACAGTTTCTGACAGAATTCTAAACATAAACACATAAGCATTGTGCATTTGTGAAGAAATGCTATGCCACCGCATTATGCAGCATTAAATAGTATTAAAGAGCAGAAGTTGTTGTTTTTTTTTTGTCTAAATAATGAAACTTTGTGATAATGCAACTCTACAAATATTGTTCAACGGAGCATAATGATGTCATGATCTATATTTAGATACAAAATGTAAACACTAAACGCTTACAAATGTAGCGGCACGTATACTGCCTGCTGTATAGTATGCCGTGGTATTGTAATGACTTCCCGTATCTTCCTCACTATCTCCGGCATACAGTAGGTCTATACCACACACAAAAAATAATATCCATGAGAAAAACTGAAATATACAAAGAAACAACATTAAACTATATAACACAACCTTTGTGATTAAAATTTCTTAAAACTTAAGACTGCTTAATGTATGAAAGAATAATTTTTTATTCATGCGCCTACAGTGTAACACTAATATTTAACACATTTTTCACTATGTTTGTATAACGTTAATAACGTTACGTCAAAATATATGCACTACCGTGCTATACCATTTTTATGGAGTCGCAAAAGCGGCAGGGGTATGTGACAGTGATAATACAATGTATTTTATATGTAAATTATCCTTTCCCCTGCCGAAATTGCATGATGGGCTTGACATGCATTCATTTTGCTTAGAACCTGCATATGTAGAGATATATAAGCTGGCCTGGTCCAGTATTGGTGGCACAGGCCTACAGTTAGTGCTGCAAACAATCAAAGAGTTAAAGGCTAAAAGAACATCTGAAGAAATGTATTGGTATTAAATTAAGCAGACTCATTTACATTCTAGCTACCATTTGGTAATTTAAGTATTTAATATTATCAGAGTGAAAGTAAATATTATACAATGTTTGTATAACCCAACTTATATAAATATAATAATATTAAATACAATTTACAGGTAATGGTGCTTAAGGTAGTGTGAAAGCTTTGCGTAAGTTTATATTCTGTTTGTTCTTTTAAGGTCATATTGTAGGGTCTTGATAATTTCATTACATCTCAACCTTTGAATGCATTAAATATTCAATAAATTGATTCACAAACTTTAGCTGAGGTTATCAATATTGCAATGATTTGCAATTTTTTTTAAAAGAGGTCATCTTTACTTATCATTGTAAAAAAGTATGAATTAGAATGATAAATTTTTGCTTAAAAAAGTACAATGTTAAACTGATATTCCTTACCACCCTAAAATTGTATAATGGACTTGTCAAGGTTTTAATTTAGAACTGTCCATAGCTGATGTGAGGGAATTGGATACAAAATGCCTGCTAAAATCAAACACTAAACAGTACAACTGAAACAGTTTTACAGTCAGACTGTATGTTTGTGCAAGCTGGTGTGCTCCTATATTGATTACATGGTCAAAGCATTTAAGAAGAAAAACTAAAATTTACAAACTATTAACCCTTACCCTTACCTTAGAACCAAAATTGATTACTCTTTGTCCAACCTGCTTGATTTGTTTAATGAATTTGCCCTGCTTTGAAACTGAAAACCTTAAATTCAAGGTTAAAACTTTAGTCAAACTAATCTGTAATCTTATTATATTATGTGGCAGCATGGCCGAGTGGTTAACTTGCTGGACTAGTATTCTAAGGATTGACATGGGTCTTTCAAACCCTGTCAGGGGCAAGCTGTTGTTTCAATGACCAAGAAACTTCACTCAAATTGCTAAGTATTGTTTGGTTCAGGGACAAGAGTTTTTCAATAAGCTTATAGCTTCCAACAAAAACTAAAATAAATTTGTATAAACTAAACTAACTGTACTATGAGTAGGGATATTGTGCTATTTTACGTATGTAGCCAAAGCAAGATTCTGACCCAGAACAAAAAATATCTCAGATTCTAGCTTTGGACAATAAAATACTAAATGACTACCTTAACATATATACTCACAGTTTTTGAAATGTTGAGCGCAGATAATGGTAGAGGTGATCTCTCATCATTCAACAAGTAACGGATATATAATGGCATAGATAACCACAGAATTCCACAAGGAACCCATATTAGAAACGTGTCCTGGAAACAGTCTGTAAAATGCGGGTATGAGCTGTTCAATAACAAATTTTCATCCTGAAATAAATAAAACACCAATAACAATTACAACCAGCAAACAGCACTGTATACTCAGGAATGGTTACTTAGAAACTGCATAAATATATGTATGCATGTAATAGTTTTTGATTAAAGGAACCCCACAAAGGTACAAAAGCTGAAAAACATGAAATTTGAATTTCTTACAAATATCAGCTGGGGCACTTAAAAAAGAAAGATATGCAAAAATAATAAAGAAATACATGTATAATCAGAAATACATTGAATATCATATTTATGTGCAATTCTTAGCCCGATTTAAGTAAATAATGATTCAACGCTTTTCAATTTTGGGTCATTTTTCACAAGACTAATAAATTTGGAAAAAGGGAGTGAGCGAATGATCTGAAATTTTGCACACAAGTTATTGGTCTAGACCTTCATCAAATGAAACATTAATCTCAAAAAATATTTTCAGTACCGTCATGTCAAAAAAACCTTATCATAATTAATGTAAGTTTTCGATTATACCTATCAGACTTACCAATATGAAAATGCCCTTTTATGCTATTAATGTACTAATTTATAGTTAAACAGAACATAATAGCTAGGGACTAGGGTATAAGGGTAAAAACATTTTGATCTAGAACAAGTATTTGACTGCATAGGATCTGTTCTAGTAAAATCCGTGAAAACGAAAAAAACAGGACAATGAATCAAGATACTCTTATAGTAAGAAACCCTTTCATTATATAATACACCTCCTGAAATTTTAAATCAAATCATCAACCACAATATACTAATATGTCATTTTGCATTAAAGACAGATCAGGCTGGTACATAAAATGTTTTTTTTTCTGTCAAGTTGCTCTTGTGCATATAATGCAAATGCAAAGCAAGATATAGCAAAATATGTAAAGGTATCTAAGTATTTTCTACCTCTACATCTACCTTCTATAACTGGAAAGAATATATTATTAGGTTCTATAAATACATATGACAACTCTGATATAGAGACAATCCCTGCCTCAATTCGGTATACAAGAATTTATGTATATGCATAACTGATTGGTAATCATAATCATGATGTCATCCAATGACTTTGCATTAAACGATACATAATTAACTGGTAGCATGACTATGAGACACCACTTTAAATAACTTCTAATAAAAATCATGAAACTTTCACAGAAACAAGGCATTGAAATATAGAGTGGCCTTGAGTTTACATTGCCCCAACACTTTAAAGGTCAAATGGTGACTTTTCCGCTTTTCTGGAGGAGCAAGACTTCAGGTGCCCCTGAAGTCCATTAAGGTCATATGTGCAAAATATTTTAGGCACAAGCGGGCATTTCAGTAGAACCACCAAAGTTCCATAAGATAGCTTGACAGCTTCCTCACATGAAAAAATCCTTGGAGAGATTCAGACCAACAGCAGTAAGGGGCGTGTGGATTGAAGTTGATATTCGGTCACAACAAACTAATCTATTGTTGTATAACTCAATGCTGAGTGTAATAAAATAGTTATGACACTTTTGTCATAGATCAGAAAAATACACATGTATATCTCACCCAAAGAGGAGAATTTCCACAAAACTCATCAAACGACTGGACCATTGTGGCGGCTCTCTGGATCTATCTTACTTATATTGAGTCATATCAGCCTGAAAAAAACAAAAACAATTATCTGTGATGGTTAAAAGAGACGGGAATACATAAAACAAGGGTATAAATTGTGTCAGGGTATAGAAAGAGTGTAAACACAGAAACAAAGTACCGTAAAATTCCTAATCAACGCCCCTCCCCTAATAAAGGCCCCTCCCCCAGGCCTTTTGTTAAGGAAAACAATCTACTCATCAGTGCTGAACTCATAATTAAAGCCATAATTTTATTCAAATCATTCAGAATCCATAGTATTTTATAATCACAAATATGTACAATATGAACTTTAAAACCTTAACACTTTTTAATGTTATTACCAACACTTGCTAACACTAAATGTATTTACAGTGATTTTTGGATTTAGGAAAAACTGTGTTGAAATAATAATAGCCCCCCTTTTGGAAAATGTTAAGCCCCCGGGGGCGTTTAATAGGAATTTTGCGGTATATTTAGACTGAATGTATAAAAAGAGTGACAGTATTTTTGACTGTATATTGTTTGTTTGTTTTGTTTGGTTATATGGCGCACCAACAAATTAAGGTCATATGGCACCAAAACAGGAAAGATGATTTTGGCTAACCTAGGATGTTACAAACTCATGCAGGGGTAAATGGTGGCTACAATTCCAATGCTTTAACACTTAAAGGCAACACATCAACCACAAAGGGTGAAGGTAAACACTGGTAATAGATCTCTTCTAAAATATGTTTAAATATCAGTAAAATATCAAAGAAACATTGCGAGTCTTGAATAATTTTTATTTAAGTCATTAAAATAATAATTTGATGAAAATCCAGTGCATTCAATATTATAAATAAATATCCAAAAATCCAACACAACAGAATATATTAATCAATATCCTGTTCACAAATGGAATATTAGAGCAATTTAAAATATTACAATGATTTTAATAAAATCTATAGATAAAAAAAAAATCTTGTTTTAGATAATGTTAAACTTAACAGAGAATCTTAACTTAACTGCCATCTGCAAAGAAAACTTTATGATAAAATTCTATTTCTAAATTTGAAAGCATGCAAGACATGTCATCTCTTTTTCATTTTCAAAAAAGAAAAGAAAATTGATTAAGATCCTTTATTCTTCATTATAGAGCTGTCATCCTATTTCAGTATATTCATTAATTTAGTCTGAATTGGATTTTAAAGATTTACAGTAAACTTGGTCATGCCCCAGCACTTTCATTTCATTTTTCAGTTAAAATTTTGCATATGATCTATAGACATTGAAATCTACAAAATTGATCCATTATATACTGTGTAGTGTATTTACTTTTAAATGTATTTTAATGTTTACCAGGCAAAATGATCGACTTTGTTTATGTGTGATATTTGAGTACTTTATTTACATACAATTTGTCTCTACATCTAATGTTTCAATAGTGGAACATTGAACTCAATTTTATGGACGTACAAACTGATGCACCAACAAAGGTCAAAATAATAACCTAATTTTTAAACTTGGAAAGACATGATTGAATATTTTTATGAAAGAGGACTGTCCATAATTTGTAAATGATCCAAATGTATGTGATATGTAAACTGTTTAGGTACTATGCAAAGAATTCAACAGCCATTTTTGTAAAACTTTCAAATACATGTACACATTAATGTTATTCTAACATTTTTGGACTAGATTAAATGTCATCAGTCTTAGACGCATCTTCATAGTCACCAAGACTTTCAGCCGGTGCTAGCTAGGTGGCTTGGGTGGCAGCTTGCAATAAGTACCAATACTGTCTATGAACATGCTCAATCAAACCAAGTCTGCAACATTTTCAATTTTGCAGTATTAGGCTTTCTTTAGGGATTTTGTTTTTCTCTGTTTTATACTGTAAGCTGTCTAAACCTACTTTTCCATACTGAAATCTTATCATTTTCAAAGGAAATTAAAAGTTCAAAGATGGGCTAATAAAAATTTACTAAATTTTGCAGGGTACATGTATATCAACTTGATGGAGTAAGAAATCAGTGTAGACCAAGATCAGCCCACCTTCTGCACCAGTTACTATTCCATCATTTACCTGTATTAAAAATTGTCTGAAAATGATTCATAGTTTTGATGGACAAGTCCATTAAGATATTTAAGGTGGTCATGATTAAAGGATCATACACTTAACCCTTTACCGACTGGAACACAATGTGATAAGTTTTAAGTGCCACGTACCAGTTCAGAGCCAGGCAAGCCTGCAAATCTGAAGTCTGACCAGTCAGACTATAATTTGTCCCCTTAGTGTATTAACAGGTTAAGTCCTTCTAAATCTAATAGGAGTTAACCAGTTATTGCACTAAGGTGTACAATTTATTATTATATTACTATTACTGTTGGAAGTTCAAATTTATTATTATTCTGAAATTCCTGAAAACTTTGAATTTCAAAGCTTGACAAATCTATTATGTTAACGTACTTACTTTGGTCTGGTTTACAAGATTTAGTCCTCTCTAATTTGTATCAATTATCACACAGTCACAGTATAATTGGTTAGTTACAAGTAATGTGGCAATGACATAGTCAGAGCATCCTTTATATTATCAATGAAATATGCGAGTGAAATTCAACGTACATCAAACGTACATCAAACATTCCTCATAAGTTAACTTAAAGTGAATCAAGCCTATATAAATCCCGAGTGTGTATGAAGATTAATTAAGATAGTAGTTTACATGTTTGCTCATAATGTTTCTCATACCTAGATTATTTGTTATCATTGGTGTCTACACTGATTATATAATTATGATATCATAATCGGTCAAGCCAATGTAAAAAGGTAGAACATTTTTATTTATCTTTCAATATAACCTTTAATAACATTTTACATTTTAACACTACTTGCATCCCAGATATAATCTAAAATTAGTTTACCTTGCTGGGTATATGTAACCAAATTTGTCCTGTATTGAGATTGGAATGCTTTGGAGACAATTTAAGAGATTCAAAGACAACTAAACCTTTACATGATGTTAAATATCTTAAATTGAGAGTTGCCCATCTTTCTTTCAGTCCAGACATTTAAACCATACATCATTTCTAGGGAAATTTTCAAAACATGAACCAACTGAAAAGCTAACAGCGGCAATTGGATTCCTGGTTTGGATCTTGGCCTGTACTGGTGGTATGGTTACCTATTCAGCTATTGCCCAGCAGGCAAGTGGTAAGTGGTAATAGTATATATGAAATGTCCTAAAGAATCCAGTCAGATTGCACTGAAGTGAATATAGAGTTCGGTCAGAAAGTATGAAAGTTTGTCCTGACCCAACTCTAAAATGAAAGCCTAGAGATAATCAGTATCACCATTATACATGTACTGAAAGACACCTTCAACACAATACCTTTTTGTTATCTGACTGCAATGAAACATGCACAAAACAAGCATGAGGTGTTGGGATTTATATATATTGTGTCAATTTCCACGATAATGATTACTCAAGTATATTAAAAAGTGTAAGTGATGTGCTTCAAATGTCTTTCAGTGCAGTGATAGTATAATTGCCCAATTAAATTCATTATAGACATTTTGTGGCTGTGTTTTACTGGTAGAGAAAATATCTTCAGGTGCCCCATATGACCCTAGGTAACTTTTATGAGGAAAAATAGTACAAAATCATAGAGAAAAACTAAGTAATATAACATACATGCATAATAATGGCCATCTTGAATAAAAGTACATACATCTAAATTATACAGTTGAAAAAATGCCTACTGATATAAAAAGTCATACAAATTCAGTGTTTTTTAAAGTCAAAATTGGGTCCCATTTCCCAGATAAAAAGAACTTTTGTCACCTACTTGAAGAACAATATTTTCCCCTAAAATTTTATTAAAAAATACCTATATGAGGACTTAATACATAAACTAATGAAAATACGTTGCTGGACTTATATATATCCAGGTTTAATCACTGTGAAATATTAGAAGATTAGCAATAATAATTTCAGCCTCAGCTGATTTTGTCCCCACCCCACCCCACCATTGACACATTATGATTTTTCCCTACCTGATAGGCCCGGAAAATCCATAAATATTGCAGTTGTATTGTCTTATTAAGCAGTGTTAATGAATTCATTTACACAAAATAATGGTAGTTAAATAACCACAGATATATCATATCTCACCTGTATGTGTATATAAAAAAATGTAATCCAAATCGTTATACACAACACTAAAGGGTTTAAAATCCAATGTTTTAAACTTACCCAAAAAATTAAATCACATATAATAATATGCAACACTGAATGAATTACTGCATGCTTATATAAAGTGGGACCTTTTATTTCAGGTCTATTTCTTGCTCTATATATTATACACTATACATGTAAATATACTAGATTGTGTATTCATATACCATGAAATATTAGGATCAAATGTCAAAAATTAGGACATTCATACTAGACACTCAAGTGGGGGACTGATAAAAACTAAACTCAATATAGTTTTTCCAATAACTTCAACACAGCTTAAATACCATGTATAAACTGTTTTGTTTTTTACTGTTTTTTTTTTTTTGTGGTTAAAAACATCATGCACTCAAAATTTTAAGGAGATTTAAAAGCATTTAAAACTTTAAAACTTTGGTCAATTAAGAAAATAGATAAATGTTACTTAGTCTTAGTACAAAGCAGCATAAAGTCGTGTGGTTTTAATATCAGGTACCTGTATAAATGGGTCAACCACCTACATCTAGCAATAATTTATGTTACTGTGCCAATAGCAAAATGTTCTGAAATTCTTCTGTCGACAACGTAACTGACCCACATATTGACAAACCTATGTTTGCTAAAACACAGTTATAGCAAAACAGTTGTATCTTGTGTATTTAACTCATCAAGATATGTCATTGCTGACCGGAACACCTATGAACACCTTTACTTATATATTTGTTGACATTTTTAGCTAATACATAAATAATATTATAGTTATACATGTAAATCAAATACAATTTGTTAAGGAAACAATTTGTTAAAGCAACTCTACTGAGATCCAAAAAGCTTAAAAAACATAAAATTGGAATTTTTACATAGATCGTCTAGGATACTTAAA